GCGCATTGGTGATACCGAATGGCATCACTGTATAGCGGAACTTGCCGAACGGCGTAACAAACGCCGTATAATCACGAGCACGTGGTGTAAGTTCCACCACATAATAGCCACTGAAACCATCAAGCACCGAGTAGTATTTTCTTCCAGCCAGCCTGTCCAAGCACGCTTCAGCATTGGGTATTGGCCACTGAATTGGAACAGTTGCCTCGTTTAATCGACAGTAGCTGTGGCACATTCTATATGCGCCAGATTTCTTCTTGGGGAAAATCGTCCCTGCGCCCCATGGACCGTAATACTCCTCTATCATGTTCGCTGCTAACAGCTCAGCACAGCGAGTCCTCGCAAAGGCCTCAATTTCTGGTGGCCAACGTTGACTCTTTCTTGTGCACATGGGCTTGGTTCCAGGTTGCAGCTCGATGTCACACTGCACCAGATTTGTGCGACCCAATTCGCTCAATTCGTGAGCAAATAGGTCTCCGTAGCGACACACTAGGGCGTTAAATGTTGATCGCTGCTCAGGTGTTGCTGCGTCACCAATATGCAAAGTGTTGACATTATCCACTGTGATGTGGAAACAATCAACAACCGGTGACCTGCAATAAATTGCATCAGCCGTCACTGGTTGTACAGCACGACCTGCCTTGCGAACATCCCACAGGAGCCCCATACTCTCAGAATTCATCCCACCGGTTCTTTTGGAGTCATCAGCTGGTGCATTGCTCTCAATTCCTCCTCCATAAACATCATCCAAAGCGATGCTCAATGTAGTCTCCTCGAACTGAGTAGCCAACGCAGTTCTGTCGACAGCACTTGTCTCTCGATTGTCTATCCACTTGGTGTTATGGCTGACGTCTTCCGGATCTGCTTCTGCGTCTGGTAGGAAACCATCATGGACTATCCCAGAGTCGCCATTTAACTCAGAAAGCGTATGTTTTCCTTTGGGATCATCTTGTACCGGCGGCATCTCGGTCAGCCCATGTCGTTCATCAGAATCGATTTCGCGACCCACCAGTACCAGATATCCTTCTGTTGCTTCTTCTTCCAACTCCTCCGATTCTGATTCTTCTCCGGTCATTTCACTTTCTGATCCATAATCATCGGAGTCACCAGACTCACTGGTCGCCACTGAAGTATCACCCACGATTGCTCCCGTCTCATGAGTAATACAATCAAGCAACTCGCAAACACGCTCAGAATCAGTGAGCTGTGTCGGCACCCCCACCAATGGCAAGAAGCTGCCCTCGGCGTTCTGAATGAAGTGTGAATCTGTGCCCCAGAACGACACCACTTGGTTAAGCCTCAACCATGGTTTACCAAGAAGTGCTGGGTATCCTGCGTTGGTGTGCATCAGATGGAACAAAACATCCGTCATGACACCAGCCACATCAACATGAGTTTTGACATAGCCAAGCAAAGGTCGCCGTCCACCGTCTGCCATACGCACCACAGCACCACTTGGACCCAAAACACGCAATCCACACACCTTGGCTGCTTCTGGTTCCATCAGGTTTAGCATTGCTCCAGGGTCAATAATAACCCCTTGGCAGGCCCGATCAGCAATATGGCAGTCAATTCTGATTGCTTTCTCGGTTGTCAACTTGTTGACCTCAGCTGCCATCACTTCTGGTGTTCTTGTGACTGGTTGTGTATTGGTGATTGGTTGTGCACTGCTCATAGCTTGAGGCTGTGAGCTGCCTTCCACATCCATAGCTTCTCCCTTTGGCTTTGTTTTCTTCGGCCTATCCAAGGCAATCCCAGTGCGCAATTCACGCCGCACTGTTGGGGATACTTGGAGTAGCTGTCCCAGCGAAATTGAAACCGGCAGATTGAACAAAGCTTCAGATACTTGGAACTTGGGTTTCCCCCGGCCACACACAATCTCTGTCAATGGAGTACGTTTCTTCCGTTCTCCCACACGCTTGACACGGACTCTTTTCTTACTTGGTTCTTCTTTGTCCTCTTCAATCGTTTCTTCACCAGCAAATGCTTCCAGTTCCATTGTCATAGCATCATGGCTTCCTTTGCCATTCACACAACGACCTGATGATTGTCGTTGATGGCTCTGAGATGGATCATCAGGACCTCGAATGTCCTCAGCTCGGACATTCGCAGCCGTTCCAAGGGGTGTTGCATTCGCTCCCGTCAGTGGCCGACCTCTACCAGCATTGTTTTGGTCATTGTCTTGATGCCAATTGTTGTTGTAGTCAGCTCTGCCACCAATTTGATTCTCTCTCCAAGTCATGCGTCCTCCACCTCTTCCACGACCTCTGCCACGATTGGCTGGCCCCAAATTCCCAGGAAAAGGACTCGATTCTGCACGGTCTTTCGAGCCCATCGATGTGACCATCATGGCAGTGAGTTCACTCATTGATTGTGCCAACTTTTCCACGTTTCGCTGTAGCCCATCAATGTCGGTTTTGTCTGACGTCACGGCCCGACTTCTCATGAGCTCGCCAGCTGCTGGCAACTTCCCTTCCATGAGAAGCGTTGCTTTCTCTACTCGCTTGGCTTCTGCCACTGCATGGTTAAAATCAGGAATATCCGCTTTTAAAACATCCAAGCGGAACTCCTTTTTCAGACCCATCACCCAATAACGCCGAAGAGCATTGATGGGAACTCCATCCCCATCAAATGCTTCCCGTTCAGCATGCAAGCATCTATACCGTTCTGCATAGGAGGCCACAGATTCGTCCTCCACTTGTTTAGGGTCATGCAGAGCACACTCAATCTGCTCCAAGTACCCAGGGGCTCTGAATCTTGCAACAAACGCAGCCTCAAATTCATTCCATGTACGCTCATTATCTTCCCAATGAGCGGCCCTACTATTGTACCATGTTTCCGCCTCCTGTTCAAATACTACTGCAGCATTAGCAATCTTTGCTGCTGACGTGTCCCAAGCGTTGCTTCTTGCCACTCTCAAAAAGTGCTTCACCCACACCCCTGGGTCCTCACCCCTTCCAGTGAATGGGCGGGCCTTTGGCTTAACACCACGCATCATATTGCCTTATAATATACTGAACACTGTCACATGGGCCGCTCGCGTCCTGCCACGTCGCTCGCTCGATACCAGCAGTGACGCTCCACCGTATCAGCGCGATGTGTCACCTTGTAGGATTACACCGTCGGCTGACACAAGCTGACACAATCTGACACGAGCTGACACAAGTTGACACAAGCCGCTGTCCTGCTGACTCCCTGTTACGCAATCCTCGCTGTGGGGACGTGTGTGCTGTGTGGCAAACACGTGATTCCTTGGACACCTCAGCAACCGCAATGAATCGCTGACACCGTCACAGCACAGCGCGTTGTACTGCTCCAAGCCGTAGCACAGCACTACGAGAGTGGTGCCGCACTGCGCTTCGACCCTTGGGAGGAGGCTCAATCAGTCAGCGAATTGATCCCCTTGGCGGCGGCTGAGCCACTCTGCTACGGCGCACCAGTGGCACGTTGTCGCACTGCCCGTTGGACTCACTCGCAACGTACGATTCTCTCCGTATTCGAGTCAGCAGTGGAAGCCTTGACACAAAACTGACCCCCACGCCTAGCGACAGCTGATCGTCGCTGGTGGTCTTGCCAAAACACTCCAGAAGGGCCACACAAAATGGACTCTGGGCCGCTGAAGTCCCGTCGTAACCAACCGTTCGATGGATGTCTTGAATCTTCGATCCCAAAAAGTTTCTCGGAGACGCCGCCTGGGCAACGTAGAACTCTAGTGCTCTCGGCGCTGAGTCCGCCCCAGGTTGCAACAAGCTAACCTGGTCCGTGTCTCGACTTGCACACCCCCTGCCTCGGGTGCCAAATGACGAAGGCAGGCAGGGTCGAGGGGTGGCGATCCCTGAACGGGAATTGTACGCTCGAGTCCACGGCAACGGTTTACAGCCGAGGCAAAAGGACAACAGACGTTCTGTCCTTTATACCCAGTCCGTTCATCAACATCCCTAATGCAATCCTTAGTGCTTCGTCATCTTTTCATACATTCAGTTATTAATAACACTCAATCAGTTCTAGCCGTAACAGTGCCATTACGATGGATGTGGTGTATACGGCACATCCGTATGGGCTCACGTGTCAACTCAGCATTGGCACACAGGCGCAGACTTATGCTGGCTCAATGCTTCAGTGGGCGTGCTGGGCGGGGATGACAACCATTTTCCAATGGCAACGTTGGTTACACCAATGGTCAACGCAGCTGGGCACAACGCTGTGGTGTCTTGCCGTCGTTCATGTGCGTTCTATTTGTTGTAGATTGCATGCCTTGAAACGTATTGCGGGTATGCCCCAGTGTTTCAGAATCGCACAAACGGCATGGGGCGCCACAGCCACGATGCAAAGGTCCTTGTTGCACGCTGTGGGCGCGTGAGCGTTTCAGATCCGATGCCGGCGAATTGCTGATCCTCAACGTGGCGTCACGCGACCCCATATACTTGAGGAAAAACACCATCGACTCAACGTGCCACGCTCAGGGTGGGCTAGGCGCTCAGACAACCGAACCGCACGCGTTCAGACCACACGCGTCCAAACCACGCCCAACAAAGTCACACAATCCAAAAATGGGAAAGATGTCGATGTGAACCACAAGAAAGGCTGCGCAAGCGGCAGGCTTGTGGCGGCACACGCCTTATGCGCTTCTTGCAGCGCCTGGTCCACTTTGTCCGCCGTTGCCCCCGCTCCCAGTCGCTGGAAACGTCGCCCAGGCACAGTGTGACAACACACCATTCAATGGTGACCATTCGGGAAACACACGTGCGCCTTGCTGCGCAGCAAGCCTACTGCAGTGCTAGAGTCGCCCATGGCGTGGGCGACACCGTGTGCGCAGTTGCCCACGGCGTGGCTGCCTTCTGAGCCCCTTTGTCCGCTCCTCTTCCCCGCACACAACTTTGCGCCAGGAGATGTCGAACTCCTAACTAGGGACTGCCTGTTGACGCGGCCTGGCTGCAGCGGACTGCACATCACTGCACTGTACTTCGAGTCGCGAGCCCTTCCTGGCAACCCTGCCGATTTTAGGACAGCCAACCCTTGGCTCCACCCCCAGAGCCTCCCAGATTTGTCGGTTGATCCAGGTCATCCACGGCCACGATCTGTAGACACAGGCAACGTACACACGCAATGAATTGGCCTAACTTGACAGTTCCATCGCAGATGATGCAACCACTTTCGGTTTAGGGTCGCTCAAGGCCCTGTCAGGATTCAACGCAGTCATGTTGAAAAATTGTTGTGACAGTGAAAGGCTGTGAAGGTGTCAGTTCTTGCATTGAAGAGAATAGTTGACATGTCATCACTCCAGGCCAGAAACGACAAATGCAGGGTTCCTGCCGCACAGATAACGCATAAGCACAACACTGCAAGCGTTGCTCGATGTTCCAGAAGGAGCCCCCGGCAGCCCCAGGTCTAGTCCCATGCCCACATGTACAGAACATTGGAAAAAATGGTGGAAACCCAGGGCAAAACATTGCAGCTCCAAAGCACTGTGAGAAAGCGCAAAAATGCCGTAGAATATTCAAACCTTCCGCATAGTTACGTAACACTGGCCTATTTGCGGAGAAAACAGTAAAATAAATAACGCTCTCTTAATAAAACTTCTGCGAAGCAACATAAAAAGACTAAAACTAACGCTGTGAAGAAAAATGCGGAGCAAAAGTGTAACGGTAAAAGTGTTCGATGCGGAAGGGTTGAACATACTACAGTACGCAAAACGCGCAGAAGTCTGCTGCACACCTTGAGGACGAAATCCTCGTGGACACGCTGCACGACGACCACCATATCCCCTGGCTTCACAAGGCCTTTGGATGCCCCCACGGCGACGGCATCCGCCAGCGCGTTCTCAGTGCTTGGGCCAGGCGCCGCCAGCATCGGCATCAGGCCTCGGGATATCATGCACTGCCTGGCAATTCCCCGACCCTGGCGGGCCCACACACAAGACACCACGATCATCATCTTGTGAGAGCACTAGGTCAACGACACCCGTGATTCCTTGGTGGTGTCCATCGGCAGCTGTGGGCTCTTCTATTCTCGTGGGCCCCAATGCCACATACGCACCAGCCATTGGAAGACAGCAGAGGATGGCAACTTCCAGATATTGCTAATTGCCTTCGCCTTTCATCACAGCGTAGGGAGCTGTGGGTTCTCACATTACCCTACTGGGTACAGCTAGAGTCTGCATGCATCATGCGTGTTTCCAAGCTGGCAGATAGGTGGTCTGGGATTCGTTTTGGTAATTGTCATTGTAGGCACAGTTATAGCTATTCGTTGTTAGGGCCACAGCTCTGGACCACGGCCCCTCATCGCCGATTGTGTGCTACACATGGTGAACTCGCTGCTATGAATTGAACTCAAACGTCTGTCCCCAATGCCCACATTCCTTCAACGTCACATGCCCCACCTCCTGTATGTTCCTAGTTTTGGTGATCAGTGTTCTGGGGAGAACATCCCAATGTTCGAGACACAACTGAAAACCGCTAGCTGGAGTTGGGAAAAAAAGCAGCAACATGTTCTGCCTTCGCATAGTGCGATCAACAATCCTGAAATAGAACAAATAGCAACAATTTTGCTCTGTGCTGTGATTAGCAGGGCTGCAAGGATTGCCGCAATTCTTTCAGATCTCAAGATCTTGCACTCTGCATTTCATGACTATTTTCCTTCTACAGCTTTCTTGCACTGCAGAGAAACGCACCTCTTCCCTTGGGGGGGCATTTTCTTCACTGAAAGTCCTAATTGTGACAGGAATCTGCAGTCTAAGCAGCAATAGCCACCACTTTCTGATCAGTCAGTGCCCGTACCCTCGGCCCCCACCCACTTTCCCCAGCTTCACCCATATCCCACTTGGGGTACTTGTGTTCTGCGCCATCTTAAGAGTGGGTGCTTTCTGACACGTTGCTTGATATTTACTCGAGCAACAAAACTCTGAGTGCTAAATGTGTCTGCTGTCAGAATAGCCATTCTTCTTTCAACGATCACCACTTGGGCTTTGCACAGCCTTCCACTTTTTGTACAGGGGAGTACAAGGACAGCATCTCTTCTCCTGTGCTGAGTGTGGCATCTGGGTGCTCAATTGTGGTGAAATAATTTTCAAAGGACAAAGAAAACACTCCCACCTCAAGTTTCCATCCCAATTTGTCTGTCTTCAGAGATGGCACAACGAGCGTCATGATGGGCATGGAGGGCCTGTACTTGGCCACCAGCTGTGCAGTCTGACCGGAATGTGTGTACACCACCAGTAGGCTTGCGTTGATCTTGTCAGCGGCTCGCACGGCAGATGAGGCGATGGACTCCAGCTTTGACAGGTATGGGCTGCCAAGGGCTCCTGTGCTGGCTGACATCATGTAGAGGTGAAGTTCAATATCCAATTTTGAAACTAAGGAACAGTGAAGAGAAGGGCAGAAAGGAGGCAACAAGAGGGAACAAGTTCTGCTGCCAAGTTCAGCATCATGATCACCGGCTGAGCATGCTATTGAGGCGTCCTTGTGCGTCAGGTTCACAATGTGTTGCAACTTATTGGTATGATGGGAAACTGATAAGCAGAAATACTGTCTACCCTATCCATGTGCTGCTTCCATTAACTTTTCTGCTTGTCAGGCATTTCGTCAGCTGAGTTCTTCAGGGCACCTGTGTGGGCTGACAGCTCCGACACGTGACCTAATCATCTTAACAAAGTTAAGGATTCAACCTTCAAACCTTAAGGGTCTCAGGACAGAGAATAGCGATTGAAAGAAGCCGTGCTTCCCCAGCAATTGTTAATCTTGTATCTCATCACCACTGCTTGCGTACTTTCAGCAGGTGCCAGTCCATCATGTGCATTCAAAACTCTTGTAGAGTATGTGCCACTCAGTGGGTTCAAGTACAGAGTTATACTGGTATTTGTGCTCCGCACCACACCCACACAGGGCAAGGGGCTTATGGCTGGCAGGTGTCGAAGGTTTCGATGATACCCTGATGGGCCAAATGTGAAAAGGAGTACCCAGATCTTTGTTGCTTCATGCACATAGTGGCACCAGTAACAGCACTAACCACTTCCCCCCCTTCCAAAACTGCAACCACTCCTGAAGGGGATCCTTGTGCTGTATTCTGCACTCAGCAAACAAATAAGGCACTGGGGCACTTACCTAGGTTAAGGAGGTTGGGGGTGCTTGTGCCTGTGGCAGTGGGTCCCATGGGGTCCACATTGAACGAAGTCATTGAGTACAGTGCACTGTTGAGGTCGGCGAAGGATGTTGCAGAAGAGATTGATGATGCTGACTTGCTCTGGTGAATGCTGGCCTTGTCAGATGCTGCCTGGGCAGAGGCTGCTTCCTGGGACCAAAATGTGAATGATTTTCAAGAATGGGGCTGGACAACAATTTCAAACCAATGAGATCTTCAGCCAATTGAGAATGCCTGCATTCAGAACTCTAACCACATTCTGTCTTTACAACTCCGTCACGAAGTGCCCATGTTGTGCCGCACAATATGCACACCCATGGGAGTGTGGCACCTTGACTTAATGTTGCAAGCTCTTTCACTGAAAACCATGTGCAGAAATACTTTGCCTTCCCTTAAGTACACATGTGTCTGGCAGCTTAGCAGTATGCTGATGGCTTCCAATACTATGGTAACGAAGTATTGAGTCCATGAACGAGCTGGACCATCCATTGACTGACTAGCACAGACTATTCCAGAGGAAGAGCCACCTTTCAAGGCATGCTTCAGCACCTCAGTGGCAATTAGGGTGCCTCAGCACTGCTCCAGTGCTGCCAACAACACAAACTACAGAAACTTTCAGCACTCCATACTCAGATTTACTATTCACTACCGCTGAATAAACAGTCATGCTAACCACACACATGCCATTTCAATCGTTTCGTTTCACCTGCATGAGATAGTCGAAGTGGTGACGATGGTCGAACATGGTTTCCGCCTGCCGTGAGATGGTGAGCACTGTGTGTATGGTCTCAACCGCATACAGCCCCCTCAGAGTCTCAGCGCCCAACAGGAAGCCATCTGCGCCATCCAGCACAGCATTGGCCACATCCGTCGCCTCTGCCCTTGTGGGTCTGGCCGATTCAAATTCAAAACTTCAATTCAAAACACTGATTATGATTCCAAGGCGAGAGGGGTTCAATGTCCACCAGGTTTTCAGAGATATCCAGCCAACCAGCACACATCAGCCACATCGATTGCCTCTGCCCTTGTGTGCTCAGCTGATTTCACTGCAGAAATGCAACATTTTAGTTCAAAAACAATACAAACAACTTCAAGGTAACGATTTAATGCCAAACACCCAAACTAGGGAACCTGTCTGTGCTGTCCAGGTACCCAGGCACCACCATCACTAGAGAGTGCATATGAACATGGGGACTTGGGATTCGTTTGGCCACTAACACAATCATATCTGATGGCCTGGTGAGCAACCCACACCGCAGAACAGCACAGTGCAGTGCAACACAGTGCGGCACAATGCAGCGCAGTGCAGCACAGTGCAGTGCAGCATACTGCAATGCTATTGTCTGGCCAGGATATAGAGGGTGGGATGGAACTCACCTTGGCGTGGACACCATGGTGTCAACCAGCCTGGTTACAAGCACAGGCTTGCCGACCAGGTTGCAAGACGAGATGAGGTTCTTCTGTATGAGTGCCATCTTGTCCACTGGGCAGTCTGTCCCCAGGTTGCCCCTGCTGATCATTATTGCATCCGCCTCGCTCAGGATGCCCTTGAACTTGGTCAGAGTGTACTTGGTCTCGACCTTACCACCGGCATTCTTGCGATCACATTTTGTTGTGCGTGGCAAAGCAAAGCCACCTTGCCAGCTTGAGGGCGATAATGGCCACATGATGCCCATAAACACAATTATTGGTTGGCTGAGAAAACAATGTATGTTTTCAACAGTTGTGCTGATTTGTGGTAGAGGATTATCCGACTGGATTATGGCTCCATATTGGGTTTTAGAGAGATAAGATGCGATTTGCCAGAAGTGAATGAACTTGTTGTTACATGCATAGAATTTTGGTCTCTTCTCAAGCTTGCAATGCTTTTGGGCAGTCTGGCACAACTCATTACAGATGCACTGTCCTTGAACGCCTACTTGGTGCATGTGTACCAATTTGACAATATTCATGAAATGAAAAACATGTGCTAAAAAAATTCGACGCACATGGTGGATTTCCTTGTACGATTGGGACTTTTGACAATACAATGCTTCTTTGCATACCTGTACCCTCAACATAATGATTCAAGATGTGAGCAGTTTAGCTGTTGAATTTCAAGACCAACCCTGTCAAGCCATGGCATCAGTTATGACAAAGCTGTGAATTGGGACTGTTAATGCATCCACAACCATGGTTCCCTGGCCAGCTTTCGCCAGTGATGAGCAGCAGTGATGAGGCCTCTTTTTCTGAGTGTCCTATGTCTGCAGTTTGCAACAATGTGCCTTGGATGTGCACATTGCCTTGTTGCTGGAAAGTTGCAATATTGCCAGTGCAGGTGAGGGCAATCAAAGACCAGCGCACACCTTTGCGATCAACCGCGTTGAGTGCATGCCAGCCTCTTCCAGAAACTTGCGCGCCTCAATGACATCATCGCGATCTCGCGCATATGACAGTGCGATGAAGTCGATGTCAAACTTTTTGCTCAGGCGCCTGCTCGATGGAGAAGAAGAACACAAACATTGTGAAGAATGGACAAAATCTGCTCCATTTCAGCCTACAGGCGCAGTGAGTTTAGATATTGATATCTACTGCTGACATTGAAACATTGATACTTTGTACTTCATTGTCTGCTTTATACTTCATTTGTACCTTATATTTCATACACATTGATACTCTACACTACTTCATATTTGAGGTATATTGATATTGATACTGCATCATACAATAGGAAACTCAACACACCAAATTTGCTACATTCACAGGCCACAGGTCTAGCAACCTTAGATAATGATATCGATTGTATGGACACTGATATTTTCCCACTGACAATCATATTCAATAATGCAGCAGGAGCGATATTGCATTGATGTCTTGGGCCAGCAATTGTGCTTTCGAACAGAGCCCAACACTGCCTCACTGGTGAATGAGCAACCTATTATGCTCTGGAGAATATGATGAGGATATACGTGCCTGATTGCCTCTTTGTCAGATTCCTGGAGGGCTGCCATCGTGTTCTGCTTGCTCAGGACAGGCCCCATCTGGTTGCGTTCCATATGGAAGACCGTCAGCAGGCCATCCAGTTCGGAAGGCGTCTGGGCCTCACACACCACATCCGTGTCTGTCACTTGCAGCACCTGCAGAGTATTCCAATCCCTCGTGGTTACACTAGATGTTGGATCGTATTTGGGATCGTATTTGTTGCTGTTCTTTTTCCTGCTGCCTAATCAGTGCTGCCCCATACTGCTATTGCCCAAGACTATCGCGGTGTCCCACACAAGGGATGGGATACTGCCAATGTTCAAACATTTTGAACTGCTGCTCACATCCCTAAAGGCCAAGTGAGCTCCAACTTGATGATCCTGGACAGCCACCATATTCCTGAACAATACTTGGATCCAATTGATGCACTCATGGTCATCATTTCAACTGAATTTTGCTTATAGAACTGTGCTTTTCTACAGTTGACCTGACAGTGCAAATGACAATCACAAGCAGTCCCAAACAGTGCAATCAATACAGTGAAGAGCACTAATCTTTATTGCTCTACAATCAATAGGAACAATCGCAGCGACCAAACAGCTTGGGATTGCAATGCCTTACACAACAAAGTTTGTGCAAATAGGCAATGAAGTGCGTCTGTGCATCCATATGCTGCTTTTTGCCAGAGGACTCATGTCTCTGCTGTATTCTGCAGTTCCAACCCAGCACTGCATCTTTGTCCCAATCCACATAGGACAAGGGTGGCGACTCAGAACAATCAGATGCACTTGACGCAGCCGAGTGTGATACTGCCTTCAAAACAAAAGCAGACAATGAACAAGCAAAGAGGACAGGTTTGGAGTTGCTACCTTCAGGTACAGTGCCCCGGACTCGGCACCTGTGGTCAAGTAGCGAGACACATACAGAGAGTCCCCAGGCTCCACCACCTCTGGAAACTTGCTGTAGTTCAGCGGAAAGACTGTATCTGTGAATGGGACGTCTTTTGTTGTCAGAGTGATCTGCCAGCAGAGGGAATGCGGTCATGCCACTGGAGGCCATAACAAGTGGAAACGAATGAAATGACATACAGAAACTGAGAAACTGAGCATGCACGAGACAGGTCCAATAACACTTGGGGCACGTCCTCAGCCACTGATCACAGTGGGTCTTCAGAGAAGAAATTTGCTTGAGGCGTGCAGCCTGGGAACATGATATTGCACATGATATTGCCTGGAAGGTGCAAGGGTGAGCATTGTTACCTCCAGAAGAATGGACTGAAAGAAATGAGTGAATGTGCTGCAACTTTGGCTACCTTGAAAGAAGAAGCATTCAAGAATTCAAGCACACATTGCATTCTGTTATGTGACGATTGATCTTCCATTCATACTTAAAAACTTTCGCACTGTCTTCGCACCACTAAATAGAGCTCCGCTACATCCCACTGAACATGAAGTGGCCATTGTGTGACTTGCACCCGTCTTTCATTGAAGGGTTAGAATTCATGCTAGACTGCAGAGCTGTCTTTTTCAAATTCCACAACTGCTCATCAAACTGTTCTACTCAATGCTGACTACCATCTGCACCATTGACTTCACTGGTTAGACAACTGGATTTGTGCACGTGGCCTATTCACGAAGGTCAAACAGTGATGATATCCTGGAAATGTCCTGTATGGGTCGATTGGCTGATCCGTACAATGACAACTTGTTGATTTTGAGCAAAGGTGACAAGCGAAACAACTGCTTGTGTGGGAGGCAAGACTGAAACTCAACCAATATTTCTGACAGCCTGATGGAAAGACACAAAAGTCCACTCGCTGGCATACCAAGTAGAACAATGCACAGCATGTGCACATCCATGCAGACAATAGTGCAACGTGCTTTCGCATTGTGGACCAGGGTGTCACTTCAGAAGACTTTTACAGGAGGGAAGATTCATTGCAACAGAGAAACTGAAACACTCTGTAAGAAGGCACCAACCATCCTGAGTAGAAGATGATTAGACTGTTTTCCACGATGAGAAACTTGGTGCAGATATCTCCAACAGCAGGGTGAAAAAGTACATCGCCATGCAGAACACATTGTAGCACATGCACTCTGAGGGCCTCAGGAAGGGCACGCTTACAGCATGCTGATTTTCCTTCCTGCCAAGAAGGCATTTAATAACTCTCTTGCTGTTGCCATTGTTATTCAATCAAATATAAGTTTCTTGACAGGCGCATCCAGCTGTTGTATGACATCGGCAGTTATCTCCACGCAGCAAGCAGGCACTTTCTTCAGACAATAGTCGAGTGGGGAAATCCGATCCAGCTGCAGCTGTGGGTTTCCATTTCCTTAAAACTTGGTATTTCACTCCAAATAGTCTATAACTTCAGCATCCGGATAGCCCTAAACGCCGCCATTAAAACTCATAGCAAAATCGTCTGTGAATAATCTGTAGAAGAGAAAGCAGGGTTGGGGCATTCCTGGTGCCACTCACTGTCTGTTTTGCCTTGATCGATATGGGGTGGCCATGGTATGGCCAACCGTCTTCACCAATCTTGAATGGCCTTTTGACAAAGACTTCTCTGCCCAATGTGTCGAGCACGATGGCACAGAGTCGGCGGGAGTTCTTCATCGCCACCTGAAGGTTCTCAAGGGACTTTTCATGAAAGTCCACAGGGCCCCACTGCCGAACGCAAATACACCACAGTATAATGCAGCCGCAAACTGTCTTGCATGCAAAAGTGTAACTCAAGGCAACAAAGGTACTGTGACCTCAAGGGCGCTGCTCATAGAGTCGTGTAGTTGGCACTATCAGCTGCAGGGTGCTTCGCACAGGGAGGTGACAGCAAACCCCAGGATGATGACAACCGGTGATCGACACGATATCTTGCAATTTGGATGCAACTCAAAACAAACTGCAGCAGCATTAATTGTCCTGTTGGCGCAGTGTTTGCCTGTCCAACGGATATACCCATGCACTGGATACAGTGGACATTTACTATACTTGTGTCCTATTCCTGTTTGATTGCGTTTGTCAGAAGTGCCAGATTTGCATGGGACAGAGACATGCTGCCATTGAGTGGTGAATAGCTGTGGGATCTGATGTATGTCTGCAACAGCCCAACAACCCCTGTGAACTCTAAAAACAATTCGCCTGGAGAGGCAGCTGCAAGGTATCAGTGCATCTTCCTGGTAGCTCGCACTCACAGTTTGGATGTGAACACATCAGGAATATTGCATACTGGTCTATCAGCAGATATGCCTGTACCTCTCATCGTAAAGAAGGTCAAAGGTTGCAGACATATTGTCCCCCTTCAAAGTTTGCCACATATCTGTCTCTCCATTCGCTTGGTTCGCTTGGGTTTCGTTCAAACCCTAGGCTAGCCCTTAAAGCCAAGTTTAATGGCCACAAAGAGACGATCAAAGACAGAGGCAGTATTTGGTTGCCTACACCGGCAGTGCTTCACCAACATGACAAATTTTGCCAGAGAGTACTCCTGCTTGTCTTCCTGCCCCGGGAATTGCAAACCAGCGTCTACCAATCACTCCTCACCGTGAGGTCGATCCTCGCAGAAGTTGCCCCGGCTTGGAGTATTTTCATGAGGCTCTCCACATCTTGGCATGCCGGTCCCACAGTGAACATCACTGCGGCCATTCAAAATGGAACAACCAATCAACTGACAAATCAATCAATCAGTTAATCAACATACACTGCACATCCAGGCAAAGGCATTTGACCCATGGATGCCAAGCAACCTGTTCTGCAACAGAGACGATCGTTCGGCAGCAGCGGACTGCTCCCTTCGCCGAAGTAATCGCGCAGCAGCGGCGAGAACGGCGATCGGCCTCCGGCAATTGGCCATAGCCCCAGGAGCGCAACGAAAGGCGCGCGCCGCCACGGGTCCAACCAGCGCAATCAGGTGCGGACGGCCACACATCTCCCAGGCGACGCCCTGGAGCGCAGATCCGTCCCAAACTCGGCGGGGCGTCGCGCATTGCACATCGACCCCAAAACCAGCCGCGTCCAATCCAACATCGTAACCCAGAAATGCGCAGTCGCGTCCCGCCTACCTTTGGTGTGTGTGAAGGTCCCCGCGTCGTGGTCCGCGGGCTCCAGGATGGCCCCCGGGTCGTAGGCGTCGAAGAAATGCGTCCTGGCCTTCATGTACCTCATCCTGTCCCCGCTCCGCGCCGCTCGGGCGCGATCGATCGGCAGGGCCCGCTTGGGGCCCCCGCGGGCGATCGGCGCCGGAGGCAAGGGCTGCTGGGATGGCGCTCCGACTCGGACGCCGCTTGGTGCGCTCAATCAAGACCGAGGGAAACGGCGCTTTGGATTGATGTGCAGAGATCTGTCCTGAGGTCGGTGGGGCGGCCGCGAGGGTGTGCGAGGTTGTTGAACTCTGGCAGGGGGGGAGGGGGGGAAGGGTGGGGAAAGGAGGGGCGTAAAGTGGGGGGAGGTGGAGAGCGGGGGAGGAGAGTCCACGGACGGGAGGGGGGTGCCGGATGGCGCAGGCTGGACGTGTGGATGGAGGCGGCCGGCTTCTAAGCCTGGCCGTGTCGTAATGGGGCGATTCATACCACATGTTGCGCCTTTGGGCCCAGGGAGGCGGGGCTATGCGGAGGGAAGTGGGGGGTGAAGGTGGTGGTGGCATGCTGACATTCCTTGCGGCGTTGTCGCTGCAACAGGTTGAGTATCACTAACAGCTGGACCCTTAAAGAAGTGACGAGGCATTAGCAATTGCATTAGGGACAGTGGTGAACTGACTGAGTACAAGGGACAGAACTCCTGTCGTCCCTTTGCTCGGTTGTAAACCGTTGCCGCCAGGCTTGGTTTTTACGTTTACGTTTACGTTTTTACTTTTACGTTTTTACGCGTAAAAACGTAAATTTGCAAAAGGGCCTATTTTTACGGCCATTTTTACGTTTTTACGGCTCCCTGGCACACGTAGTTTAAACGATGAAAGTTGCATACAATGATCAGTCCTCTGCCATCTCCCCAAGCACAATGTCCACCTCGCCTGTGGCAAGGGCGATAATGGCGTTTAGCAAAAACTCGTTTTCTGCCTCTTCCAAAGCGTCTGGCTGCCACTTTCCGGACTCTGTAAATCTATATGTACTGTCCTTATGTACACCAGGCAGTTTTTACGTTGTATTTACGTATTTTTACGCATTTTTACGCGTAAAAACGTAAAAACTATTTTTACGCGTAAAAACGTAAATACGATCAGTTTTTACGGCGTAAAAACCAAGCCTGGTTGCCGCGGGCTCGAGCCCACAAGCACCGTTCAGGGGTCGCCACCCCCCAACCCTGCCGGCTTGGTCAGCGTTCAAGAAACGTCGGACAATCAATTCATTGTCAATTGAACTTTTGCATTGTAACGTAAAAGTGGGTCAATCACTGCATAATTGGCACATCAGTGTACCCATCACAACAACAGTGCTTGTACCCCTAATGATGGTTTTTTGACGTGCGGTGCTATTCAGATAGCCGAATAGCTCCGCCGGGACAATAGCACCCACCGATAAAGATGCTCTAAGATGTTCGTCACGGCCATGACCCCCTCCCTGAGGATCCAGGGTACAGTGAGACAGGGCAACCAACGCAAAGGGAAAAGCGGCCATGACCTGCATCAAATGTTGCACATTACATCACACGTAGTTGTCCTTTATCTAGTTAATTTTCACTTATTAACTGGTTTGTGTGAACTCTTTAGACTGATAATTGCAAGTGCAAACTAGGTCCATAGTCGCCCATCGTCCGAGCTGCCCACAGCTCACAACCAGAATTAGGCACACAATATTCTGCATGAAGCTGGCAGCGATGTTCTTAGAAAATGCAATGTACAACGACTTTGCCGCTCTTCGGACACGTCTGTAGAGTACACCAACTGACCGCAATTCACTTATAGGGGTCTTCTGGACACCACTGGTTTGGAATTTGCAGGCAGCAACACAACCACGTTGTGTAGTTCTCCCTCACACGTTCGACAGCCCAATTCAGCGGCTCACATGTGAAGCAACGACAGCAGACAAGTCCAGCACGATGAAACACACCAAAATCTCAGCGCTGGGTTCCCCTGTCCCCTCAGGGCCTTGGGGTCCGCCGCACGCAGCCGCCGCAACCTTATCGCAAAGGATGTCTCACGATGGCCAGGCTATTGGTCCAGCACCTCCCCCCCGCCTGGTGCCACAGTCTGGCCACACAGGAATGGATCGCAACCCTTTTATCCCCACAGCACATTGGACGAAAGTACGACACTCGCTTTCAACATTACCATCACAATGTCCCAATGTTATCACCAGCCATCCCCTTACTGGATCAAGGTTACTTCATACCAGATTAACCTCTACACAATCAGCATTTTGTACCTCCTTCAACCAACTTGACAGGTTATCAACATCTTATTGAATGGTGATGTTCACTACTTTGAAATCCCAAGCGATTCCTGTTAGCCAATCATATACCGCCTGAACGGTTGATCTTTCATTCGCATCCAGCTCCAATGCAGCTCTGTACAGCAGCATATCAAGCTGATACCGCAGCATGGCTTCCCTCAGGCCCACCTGCATCGACTCCAGCCTGCTCCCACGGATGCCAGGTGCAAGGACGAGGGGTTGTTGTGTGCAGCCCCTCCAAACCGTATACGTCTTGGCGAGCAATTGGCTGGCCTTCATGCGCGCCATTTTCTCCACCTCTCCCTCGATCCTATACATGGCATTGATCCAAAATCGTGCTTTCCGAGCCCTTACCAGCTCCCCTCGAAGGTCCTTGAGCTCCTCAAACAGCTCAGGTGGTATTCTTGTCAGAGTTCTCTAGCTTCCGTCCACTTTTTCACACAGCTCGGCAATCTCTTCCTCCTCTCGCACCCAGCTGGCGATCCCCGGTGGTGTTTCCATCCTTTCCAACTGAAATCGACCGTTGGAAAGGTCTCTCGACGGCCAGGCTGCTCGCGACCTCCCACCAATGCTCGCACAGTGTTTTCCCACAGCATCAACCCTTCAACTTGTCGGCGACAATATGACAGCTCGGATCACATCATTTCTTTGTTATGCAAACTTCCTTGACGTTCGTATTGAGTCCAATCAGCACTCAGCAGCGCACATTGACATCATAAAGCCCAGGCGCTTGTCGCCAGCGCCAAAATGAATCAGCCATATCAGTTGACAGCCATTACGGTTCTGGCAGCCGTCACACTGATTACTTGTCTTTTCACAACATTCTCTATCCCCATACCGCCATATCACGTTCTCAAACCTCATTTAATCATAGATTGCTTTTTCCATGAACATAGCGCTGCACAACATAATGACACCTGCCCAGACTTGGAGCCTTACATGGTGTTTTCGCCGCATGGATCTCATCACAGCCCCCCTCTCCGCCTCAGCGCCCACACAGCCGTCCAGATGCCATACTTCCTTAGGGCCATTTGCATAACGTTGTTGTGCCACTAATAGTGGCGTTCAGCTCTTAGTTCACCCACCTGAGGCAGCTCCGCTCGGGGTCCTCCATGTAGCCAATCTTGCACCTCCAACCGGACATGGTCCTGGCTCATTTCCCTCCGCCTGCCCTCTTTTGCCTACCCTCTGCCTCGCGTACATCAACACGGGCCTGAAGGGCAGCTGGCGTCAGCTCTCCAGCCAGATTGACATCCTTTCCCAGCCCGCTCAACCCCTGAAATTCTCCAAGGAGCATAGTATGCTCCTCAATCTCAGCCAAAAAATCATTAAAGTTGATGTCCTGACGAGGGTCATCAAAGTAGACTTTGAGAGCCTTGGTTGTTGACACCTCAATTTTTCTTGTAACTAGCTTCAGCGCCACTTCCAGAGCAGAGGGTTTTGGGGCATATCTTCTGTGGCCAGCCCCGAGATGGTCCATCAAATCTCTGAGGGCATCAGAAATCTGTGGTTGAACAGAAAATTAAAGTTGGTTTTCCAACTTTCCAGCTCAGCTTCTGGAATGCCAACCAGATTGTGTCCCTCCGCAATATGTTCAGCCAGATCTTGGCTGAATTCAAATCCCTCTGTCCTTCTGTACTGCTCTTCTTGCCACTCTTCCATGATGGCTTCCTTCAAGCTGGTGCATCGTTGGCATGTTTTGTCAACGACTTTGATGGGGGTCCCATTGGGACTCCGCCTTGTTATGGCCCAATGACTAACCTCCAGCCTGTGAAACCTTTTCTGCCAGACGTCATCAATGTCGTCCAGAGTCCGCATGATGTCATATCTCTCAGGCCGTGCAGTTTCCGTGCACCATCCATCCAGGAATGCTTAACGAAGCTCATCTCTTTCAGCGGCCTGAGATGGCCCAGCATTCACTCCACTGTTTGACATAGCTGCCTGATGGCGTCACTAATTTGTTGGTGCTTGGAAGCAGGATATGATCCTGTTGTGGGCTTGCAATCTTTCCGCCATTGCCATGCTCTATTTTTGGCGTCTCCATACATAGTGAGCACTTCCAAATTTGATAAATCATAAAAAGCCCTGTCTTGACCTGCCTCCCTGACCAGTTTTCTGAATGGCCCATGTAACGTCCCACAGTTGCATGCATTGGTTGCCCCATTTCTCATGTCCCTTGGTGCTTACATCTGCCATCGATATTGACATTGAGAGTGAATGTTTCCATCCAATCTCTTGCTGATTTGTCAGAAAAGCACAGCCATATTTTGTGGGCGTCCCAGGGCTCATTTCATGTATGTATTTACAGCATTAGCGATTATGTGCAAGCGCACAGGCTGGCCTAAGGTATCATACAAACGCTGTACTTTTTCTTACAGTCAAGTAGGCTGGGTGTTATAGACAGACCGCTGCACTTTTTGCAGCTGTTACGGATGTTCCTTGGTCCAGCAGTACATTCTCCCCCCCCCCAAACTTCGCTATAGAAGCTATCTGACTGGTCGGCAGGAGGCAGTAAGCGTTCCGCCTGCAATTCAAGCCTGTGGGCGTCACCGTTGGCCCAACCTGTCAGGCTGGGTGGCCTGTATTGGGAAGTCGCTGATGGTCTGTCCGTTTGGTTCAGTAGTTTTCTGATTCAGCCAGCCGTTGCCCCATTTCCTGGCAGTTGTAGCCTCTGACACCTGTGATGCACTCCATTTTGTTCCCATCTGCCTTGCCCTTGATTTGAAGATTGAGTTGTCACATCATTGCATTTTTGCTCCTCATGGGGAGCCATGCGACTGAAATACTAGTGGCGGTGATGCCTGACAATGTCTATCATTTATTGGCGACCCGAACATGATCCAATTGACAATCGACTAGTTTGAGATATTACATGTGTGTGAATGAGTTCGTCTTCATCTTCTGTGCCCTTGCCTTGCCAACTGACCTGATTGGAGACCCTGGCTGGCGGAACGGGCGGCCTGGGGAATTAGTCGAGCATTGACTTGAAGAGTGCACATGGAACCACAATTCTCAACGGCACGATGGGATGGGATGAAACAACGCCCAGAATGTGTGCAAGTGCTCGCCAGGGCAGTGCCCCAGCCGTGTCGTGGTTTGGACTGTGAGAATGTCGGCCTCAGAGCTGCAGGGTGCGGCCGTTTTGAGGGGCTTTCGATCGTGATGGCGTCCTTCAGTACCGTTCAACAGTTTTCATAAATGAGCTCGACTTCTGCCGACAGCATCGAAAATTGTGGCAGCGATGTTGACCATGTTCATCATGCCTTGCTTTGACGCAAAGGTGTCCACGCTGAAAACCATCGCAAACCTTCGTACCACCATAAACCCCTTTGCATCGAAGCAAGGTGCCACGCATTGCCACAAAGACCCTCACTGGGCATATCCTGTGTACCATAAACAGCTCGACACCCACACAATACGTGCAGTGGCATGCTCTGCATATTTTTTACGACGGAAATCAATGCGAGTGTGCAACGCAGCACAACACAGCGCGCAACACAAACGACTTTAGAGCAGGATTAAAACGCCATAATGGTACAGCGACGCTCGCCCTGTGCCAGTTATTTGTTCGCCTTATGGTGAAACTGTGCCGTGGGCCGACGCCACAGAAAGAATGGAAGGAAGTCAACCCCGTGTTTGCAAAGCAACGAAAATTCCGCTGCGATGCCCGCATCATTGCTGGTCACGAATCTCTTCACACTCCCAGCTGCCAACTTCTGCTGTGGTAAGCAGCCCCATCCCGCTAAGGACGTAGCACTCGGTCCCAAAAAAATGAAAGCAATACCCCAACACGCTATGATGCATAGGCTACAATGAGGCAAAAACACAAATATGCGTGACTGTATGCCCATATGCTATGTATTGTCAGCAGAGCCTACTCCTACCCCTCTCTCACTCGCTCCCACCCTTGACTTCTCCTTTCCTCACCGATCGATGGCTGGCAGTAGGCTGCCGACTTCCCTTGACGGGGCAATCGCTGATACGTTTCTATTGTGCAGGTCTGGCAACATTTTGCCAGAGCCCAGGTGCGGTCCACGGAGGCGCCCAGGTACCGGGTTCCCTGTGGAGGCCCCACAGCCCCAACCTGGGTTAAGAAACGCCAGTGCCATCGAGCGAGCCTATATGCTCCCTCGATGGTTGGAGGGCCATCGCGGACACTCGCTAGCGCCGCTCCGTTGTAGACACCTGGGCCCGCATGCGGTTATTGGCTTTCATTTCTCCGTTCCGATCTAATGCTATCCCGAAGTCTTGATGATGCGCTTGGTCTGAACGGGGCGACGACAAGCCCGCCAAATAGGCTATCATGGTCTGGCAACTGGCTCTTGCATAACGGCATCTCTCGCTTGCACGTATCCTCCCCCATTCGGATTTCTATTTCATTGGACGAGTCGGTCGCCTTCCAAGCAAAGTCCATGTCCTCATCTGAAGGCGCCCTGCCATTTTGCTCCTTGAACTCAGAGACTGTCACGACACAGTGGAGCGGCGAAACGTACGCCTCGTTCAAGTGGACCCGCCAATCCTGGATCGCGAACGAGCCCTTGCTTGGTTCCCCACCAAGGACAGCGACTGGACTCCAGGAAATATCCATCGAATGAGGGAGGTGCACTGCACCCAAGGAGTCGTCAGGCACTTCAGGTTCATCGGGTGAAGCCATGTCTTGTTCTGACAAGCTCCCACACGCTGACTTGGCGTCGTCCAGCGGAATGTCAGCCTGCTGTGCTATCAACTCCAGGATCTTCATGGCCGTCATCCTCCCTAGGCCTGCAGCTACGCCCCTGTTATTGGCTCGCAGCCCATCAGCATTCGAAAACTTCCCTTCGTCGTGCTGCTTCTTCAGGGCAGCGAACACCTTGGCGACAAAATTGAAGTCGGGGCGGTCCTCCGGCTTTGGAGATAGGCACACGACACACAGCATCGCATACAGCAGCGGGCAGACAGTGGGGAACTTGGGGAAGCGGGGATGGTACTGCATGCCTGAGTTCTGGGTGGCCTGGTAGCACTTTCTTGAGTGGTACATCTCCCACATTAACACCCCGAACGAAAATACGTCCGCTTTCTTTGACAGCACCCCCTTATGGCAGAGTTCTGGCGCCATGTAAAATGGCGTGCCAGCATGCTGATTGGAAACATGGCTCTGCAGCTCACCCATCTTGATGCTCAGCCCAAAATCAGCAACCTTGGCCGTCCCTAGGCTGTCAGGGTCACAGCCTGGCTCCCTCTTAAGCAAAATGTTCTTCGACGTCAGATCGCCATGAACGATGTTGTGTTGTGTGTGCAGATGCTGCATTCCCAGGGCCACATCCAAAGCAATCTGACAAATCACCCCCAGCCTGGGCCGGCCCTCCAACACGTCCACAGCCTTCTGGCCGTCCAAGCACTCCCTCAGGCTGCCACCATCACAATACTCCTGCACAATATACAGCTTCCAATCTGCTATGGAGTTCTTGTACTCAGAACCCATGACTATTTCCAACTGTTTTGGGTCCTTAGGTGCATGCGACCCAGTGACTTGGAAAGACTCGCTCTGCAGCTTCTTGAAAGAATAAGAATATGTCTGGACAAGATTCCTGTGGGAGATGCTTGAACTGATGGCTGCCTCAAAAACCACGCGTTGCCGTTGCCGTCCTGCACGGTCTGCCATGTCTTGAAATATCACAGTCTTTATGGCCACTGGGACGCCCCGCCATTGTCCCTTGTACACAACGCCATTCCCACCTGCTGCGATCTGGCCCTCTACAGTGGCACACTTGTCACCAAAGTCAGTCGCTGTCTTACTGATGGCCGCAATCATTGTGTCCCTGTTCACCAAACCCTCCACCATTTTTGTGAAGTCATCCACGTTCGGACCGCCATCGCCATCACTGCGACAGCTCCCCTCGTTAGGGCCCCCTTTGTACGAGCCTTTCTCTGCCACTTTCACAGACACAGACCCAGCAGACTCTGCACAGTCCAGCAAGGGCACCTCCCAGGGACACCTCAGCTTTTTCCAGAAGCCGAGGATGAGAGCTGTGAACACTGCAGATATTCCGCCAAGTATGGCGACATAAACACCTGTTGAGGTAATTTGGGGCTTCTGGGCACTGCCGTAAGTTGAATCACTCGCAGTTGTCTGCTCCACTTGGCCATCCAAAATGTCCTTGTTCAGCGCTTGGGCCGCAGCAATGTCTTTCTTGTCCTGGCAACTGAGGCACAACAAGCACTGCGTGTTGAAGAGACTGTGCAAGGACGTTTTGGTACTAGCTAAATCCAAGCCAGCCACAGTTCTCGCTGGCAAGGTCCTGATGATGTTACTCAATTCAGCACGCACTCACTCATCTGCACCTGTGAACCGTGCCCACATCAGCCCACAAGTGTTTGACAATCTCCTCAAGTGTTTGGCAGCCTCCAAGTTTGACAGCATGTGCCAAAACAGCAAATGTAAGCTGCATAGCACTGGGCATACCATCAGGACCAAAGGAGAATTTATAGGGTCGTTGACGGGGCCAATCTTCAGGCAAACTACCAAAAAAACACAAACGCTGGGAGGTTTCAACGAACGAGCTGCCCCAATGCACCAGTTTCTGGGGTCTTGACGACGGCAACGTCTCACCAAGCTACAAGCCAAGCACACCAGCAGGGTTTGAACAGGACTCGCCGCCCCCATCTGCCCTGCCCACGGCATTCCCTCGACGCTTTGCGCCGGCCGCTCCCAGGTCGGACCGCCCAAGGAAATGCTACAGTGTCTCGCGCTGTTCGAGGTTCGCCAAGCAGTCGCGCGGCGGCCCCTGGGGACCGCAGCCCCGCAACCCCCGGAGCCCCAAATTCGAACCCAAGCAGCCTTCGCGAGCTGCGATCTCGGGTTGGGGCGGCGGCCAGGCATGGGGCCACCCGCGCAGCGAAACTCTTGGACAATTCTTAACCCTCGGCCAACCCGGCGCGTCAAAATCGAAGCCGAGGACTCCTGCGAGGATGCCCGGGACCGGATCGGCGCGCCGGCGCCTGGCGAGGATCGACCCCTCGACCGGCGAACCTGCCGGGCCCCGTGCCGGCGACGCCCGCCGACCGAAAACTGCCTAAACACAACCAACAACGGACACTGCACCCGCACGCATGTACAATGTACTCGCCTCGGGCGATGGACCGCGACAACGCGCAGAGTGCGGGATGCAGTCTTTTTTCTTGGCGCCCCGATTCACAAATACGCCCGAGGGCATCAGACGGGGTCCGCGCACCTTGGCTGCGCCAAGCCCTCCGGCTCCGAGCGGTTGCACGTCATCACCGCGTCCTGCAGGCACATGCCCCAGCCCATGAAGCCGTTGAACTTGATCGTGTGGTTGTCCTCAATTTCAAAGTCCACCAGCTGCACGGGCTCGTACAGCGAGCGCGCCAGCAGCGTCTGGTTCTGGATCGCGTGCAAGCTGTACAGCAGCAGCTCCGCAAAGTCCTGCACGAACTCACAGGAGTGCACCATTGCGCCTCCCACCACCACCAGCCGGCAGCCCGGCGTCTGCCAGTCGTGGCGGAAGGCGCTGTGGTTGTTGGCGGCCGCCACGGCCCGCGTGGCGTCCCCGATGTTCAGCAGGCAGCTCGATGGGCTGCAGCCGGGCCCAGGGGACCCCTCTGGCAGCACGCGCAGGTCGACGCCCAAATCCTGGTAGCTCACCCCCACTAGGCGGATCTGCGACTGGACGTCGAAGAAGCCCGCGCGCTCGTCCCTCCCCCCCTTGAACACCAGCCAAGTCGGCCCATCCCGGTCAGGGTCCGCGGTCAGGGTCAGCGGCCTCTTGATCGTCAAGGCGGGGTCCTTGCGATGCCTGAGCAGGCAGGTGGACAGGGTCACGTTGCCCGCCACGGTCACGCCGTAGGGCCGGCGGGCCTTCCGAGACGCCCCCAGGAGCCTGCGCCAGTCCCCGTGGCTCCGAATCTCGCGCTCCACAGGAAATTCTTCGGTGAAATTGTCTCGCCGGACCACTGTCACGTCCACCAGCTCGGCCTGGCCCAGCCGCGCCTCTGACACCGAGATTGTCCTGCCATCCCCGCTCCAGACGCCCTCGTCCGGCTCCAGTTTCATCAGGTCGGCCCTCAGGGCGGTGAACAGCGTGTTGGGCACCTCGAACGCCGCCGACCGGTATACGACAGTACCCGCCGGGGCCAGGTCGAAGAGCATCGTCTCCAGGCGGCTGCCCCGCCGCTGACGCGTGGCCGTTAAGTCGAACGTCAGGTTGCACCAGGCCACGGTGGCGTTGAGCGTGAACAGCCTGAACGCGTCGCCCGGGTTGCCCAGCACCACGCCCCGCCCCGGCGCCCCGCAGACCGTGGCGTTCCGGCCCACGGTAATCCTTGGCACGAAGGCCAGCGGCTCCAGGTCGATGTCCCGGCTGATCACCACGCGATCCGCCCCACGCAGCCCCCGGGGAGACAAGGCGGTCATCAAATCCTTGGCCTCGGACACTTCGGCGGCCAACCCGCCGACTGGGGCGTCGGCCCCGCGGGCCGGACCGGCGGCGCACAGCATCGCCAGGACCCCCAGCGCCGTCCAATGCAGCCCGCCCCCCCCGCCCCCGGCCATGGCTCCCTCAAGAACTACGCCCACCCGCCCGCCCGAGGCAAGGGGCGGAGCCGCGCGGCGGCATTTCCGACCAGGTCGCAGGCTCCCCGACTCTGCAGGGCCCCCCGCATGCAACAAGACATCAGCCGTCGATGTTGGGAGGAGTCAAGACAGCCCGACATGCGGGCCGTGCCCGCCGGGCTGGCGGGGCTCCGCGATGGGCCGGATCGGCTCTAGGTAATCCGAGGCCGGCGGCCCCCCCCCGCCCCGCCCTGAGCCCCTCCACGTCCTCCGGAGTTCCGCGGCGGCGCCACAGGAAATCTGCAAACGCGGCTTGGGGACTACCGAGCGTGGGCTCCTTGTCCATTCGTGTGGTGGGCGCCGTGGGGGCGGGTGCCCGGTCCAGACAGCCGGTGGCGTCTTCGGCGCATCGTCGCGCCTTTGCGACGGACTCAGCGGGGGACATGGGGGCGGGGGACCACGTAACAGAGCTGGGCGCGGGCACGCCACGTGAGAACATCCTTGATGGGATTGTTTGGCGATCGCCGGCGAGGTTTGGGTTATTGGAAGCGCGCCGATCTGTGGGCCTTCCTTTTGCGGCAGGTTGGGAAGTGGGGGCGGGATCGATGGCGGCGCTCCGACTGCTGAACGGCGCAGTCTGATTTCATCGCCGCGCTGCGCTGCGCCAGGCGGCTGGAGGCGCGGTCTGGATGGCAAACGGATGCCGCCCATGGGATCCATGCAACGCGCCAAATGGCGGAAGACTGTTGCAGTTTTCAGCCCGTTTTTGGTTGCTCTTCCCCGGCGCGGCTTTTCGATGGTCGGCCGTGGCCGAGTGCGTGTTTGGTGAGGCGCCGGGCGCACCGCGGGGCGCCGGTGCGCGTGCGGTACCCGCCCGGCCTGCCGGGCGACTCGCATACGGTTAGCCTCTGGGCCCCGCCCGTGTTTGTGCGGTTTGCGCAAGATCACACTGACGTGGCGCCCCTGTGTGCATGGTGTCCACAAATCCGCAAGCCATCGGGCTATTGTCGTATCCATGTTGTTGTCTCGTCGTCGCTTCAGCGGCTCTTCGGGGACGACTTCCGGGGATGAGAGCCCCACGCGTGGGTCTGCGTGGGCCCAATCGAGTTTGGCGCACGGGCGCTTAGGCTCATTCGAGGTGGGGACGCTTACTGAAGGGCCGTTGGCGGGCTGGCAGGCTTACTCGACGCTTCACACAAGCGGGTGAGCCCGCCCGTCGGATGCAACGCAACCTGTACCGTAACATCGCGCGAGGCACCAGCTCCAGGGTGGCTTCCGTGGTCCATTCGCCCACCTTGATAAAGCGCCACAGGCCCCCTGTACTCGCGCACTTTGCCTTTGATGAGGTCAGGGTACGTACCTCTTGTAGTGCCGCTGTACTGGCTGTATTGGCTGTACTGCTGCAGTGCTAAGGACGGATTCGCCCCGGCGTTGGGCTTGTGGCGGGGGGCCAGTGCCGTGCAGCGTGTGGTGTGGAGCGTGCAGCGCGGAGCGTGCTGGCCCCGTTCTCCAGGTCATGCATATCCTGGATACGTGCAAATCCCACGCAGTGGCACGCTCAAGGACTTGGGTTCTCCCATGTACTGAGTAGTTCGAAACATGGAATTCTCACGTTGCCCCGCAACACGTTCAGCATTTGGCGAACAGCAAAGGAGTCAGTGGTGGCCAACGTTGGCACAGTGCCGAAGGCAGGATTGTGCAGACGGTACCGCTGTGTACCTTCTGCGCAATGCACCGTTGCCCGCAAGCAAGACTGGTGATGCCAGACACACCGCTGCATGACCAAGAGCACGCCGAGCACAACATGGTGCTGTGGTGCTTGGCGATAGTTTGTAGCAGCTCAAAAGTCGGGGCGTCAAGCCGACGTCGTGCAATGTTTTGCCCGCCAATTGTACAGTCGAAGACAAGCCCGGCATTTGGCCTGTCGCTTTGCGGCATACATTTTCGTCCACAGCTCTCTGTATCAGTCAACAGCTTGCACAAGTTGTGCAAGCTTACTGCAACTCCTCAAGCCTAGCCTTGAATGGATTGTGAGTGACAGCCACCAACAGAAACAGCGCTTGGGGCAGATCGAGACCGAATGACATGACCAACGAGTGCGGCCGGTTGTTCTGTTCATTGTCCTGACACTAGTGTCATGACTGATACAAATGCGGAATCGGCTATTCTTGCCTATTCCATTGTCCTATTCTGTCTGGCGAACTTCCAATGTTTTGCATCGGGTCAATTGCCGACACGATTTAATCGCATCCCAAATTTGTGAGCCGTGGGTCTCTTGGGTGGAGTAGCTTCCAAGACGAGGCACAGCAATATGGGGATCTGGGTGGGGCATGTTCTGTAAGCAAAACCCCGCCGAAGTGTGACCGTGGCTCATCAGCCCGACTGGGCGGCCACATCATGGTGAACAGCTGTGACCCCAGTGAGCGCCCTCGTGGGACCCCGGACTCGTTAAACGAGTCACCGGGAGCCGTGGAAAAAAATTCCCCCCGCGCACCGGGGGCCGAATTTTAATTTAAAGCGCAAATGGTGCACCATTTTCTTGGGCATGCCGCTGAGTTGTCAGGTGATGTCTCCGCAGCGGGGAGGGCGGTTCCACCGGCCCTGCAGCCGCGCCGGCCCACCCACCCCGCGCCGCGGCGCCCGCCCGCCGCCCGCGCGCCCCCAGCTCATCCCCCAAGCCCTCGCCCCGCCGTGAGATCGGCGCGGCCAAATCGCAAGTCGGATCGCTCAATCGATCGGCCGTGGCCGTTGGCGCGGGCGAGTTCGAAGGGGCCACGCCCTCGCGGGCATCGATTTGGGATCCCCCGGCGGGGGCCCCGGGGGCCAGGCCGGCGGGCGGCCTCCGGGGGGGGTGGGGCGGGGGATGGAGGGGGGGGAGGGGCAGGGGGGCGGGGAGGGGTCCGACAGCGGCTGGAGCAGCGGCGACGAGTCGGCCGAGAACTGGGTGCAGTGCGACGCGTGCAACAAGTGGCGCAGCATCCCGCAGGCTGTGGCGGACGCGCTGGACGACGAGACGCCATGGTGGGGCGGGGGGGGATGGCGGGGGCGATTTGGCGCCGGTGGACCTGCTGGTTGGGATGATTTGGAGGGAGGGGAGGGGGGGGGGGATAGTCCTGGGCTGGGCGGGCTAGGTTTGGGTTTCGCGCGCGGCTTTCTGGGGACTGGGGGCGCTGGGTCGAGGCCCGCATGATGTGGCTGTTCGACGTCTGCGGTCTGCCGCTCTGTTTGATTCGGTTGTTCGGGGATTTGGTGATTTGGTGGGGTGGGGGGGTGGTTGGTGCGGGGCGCGAGGCGCGGGGCGAGCGTGGGGTTGACCCGTGTGTGTGGGTGCGGGTGGCAGGCGCTGCGAGGACAACCCCAACCGGGAGTATGCGAGCTGCAGTGTGCCCCAGGAGAAGAGTGACAAGGAGATTGATCGGGAGAAGGCGAGTCTGCGCACGCGTGGAGGGGCCGATGATTCGCTGGATTCCGGCTCTCCTTTTGGTTCCTTTTCTGAATTTGCCTTGGGATTAGAGAGACAGACCATCAAGGGGGGCATTTGGGGGTGCACATGTGAATTTTGTTGGGTGCATTGTGTCAAAGTTGTAGGACAAATCGAGGGCCTTGCAGCTCAACAGGCGATGCCGGGCATCGTGGTGTATTTGCCTGGCGGAAACGAATGCAATTTTTGCAGCAGAAACAAGGAACTAATCTTGCCATGGATTGCTGCCTCAGAGCAAGAGCGATTGAGATTCTTTGCTATGCTGTAAATAGAGAAGAAGCTTCCAGTTGCAAGAGAAGAAAGTTCTGTTGGCCCATGACTGGTTTGGCTTGGCATGTATCCTCTTTTCCCCTCTGAGATTGTAGGCAGTTCATTCAGGTGGAATCACTGTATCCTCACAGGCAACATGAGAACAACACACAGGTGTCAGCTCGTGCCTCCACTGACCCACACGATCAGACAGTTTTGTTTTGGTAGTGACCTGCAAGGCACTTATAATGCTCATCGAAAGACAACCCTCTCTTCACGTGGGAGAGTGCCTCAGGCAGGTTTGAGAGAGGCTTCCATCTGTTGAATGACCCTTGGTCTCTTCAGATGTTGCACCATTGTCCCCATTTTGGGCAAGGCAGCACTGTGCTGTTACGCTGGTGTTCGATTCGTCTTGATGATTTCTTCCGTTTGGGAAAGGAGGCTCCCTTTTGGTGTGTGCAGAGTGACAGTGACAGTGACGCAGAGGAAGATGGCAGACGTAAGCGGCCATCCATTTGGCAGCTTGTGGACTCCAACATATACACTCATCGGAAGAGGAAGGTACAGCATGAGGATGACATCATGATTTGCCAGTGCTCCCCTTCGCCGGAGGGGGGCTGTGGTGGGGACTGCATCAACAGGATGCTCAACCTGGAGTGCGTGCCGGTGAGTGGATTGGTCAGCTGTGGGCTGTTGATGCAAATCACAGCTGAAGGAAGCTTGGAATGTTACAGTGCTGTGGCTTTGTCCCGTGCTGGGAAATCTCCACGCGTGTGTGCGAGCTGGGTACTGCATTGTCTTCGTGGCACTGAGGCATGTTGAATGTTGAACGCTTGTGGAAGGGTCGATGGTGAAACTGGGCCAGCCACAAGTGGCACAGATATTCCCCAGCCACCAGCAACGTAATGCAGAGCATGAGGGACAGGTGTGAGTGTGCAAGATTCACTGTGGCAGGGAAGAGAAAGATGTCAGACAGCGGCCACCTGCATCTTGTGGGAAAAGAAAAATGAGAAGCTGTTCCACAATGTGCAAAGTAATCTAGAAGTCTTCAAAGGCAGGGTGAAAGTGGACATCACCATGCAAGGGAGAAGGACTGGCTTGCAGGAGCCACAAACACTACCACCCAGATCCGACCATAGGTGTTGACGTGAAATTCTCAGACCAAAAACTTCGAAAAGAGTCAAATGGGCCGTATTGTGTGGGATGGCATGCTCCCAAACACCCTAGCAACAAAGATCAAAGAAAGCAGGTGCGCCGCACATCAGGGCCGATCCCTCGAGCAGCAGATATGCATCTCTAAATATACAGGTCTGAAATCCGTTAGCATTGATTCTTATTGTCTCCAATTCTTTCTCAAAGACGAAAACTTGTTTTGAAAGATGAAGCAAGGGCCGCCAAATAGAAGCATGAAGTGTTTGCTTTCGCTGTGTTCCTCAGCAGGTGGCTTTGGAGTCCACTTTCTGTGCCTCTTTCTACTGCCTTAATTTTGTTTTCTTGATGATGAAGCATACTTTTGTTGGTGCCCTGGTAGCCTAGCTGTGCTTGTAGATCGTTGCAGTGGGGCATCCACTTTACATTCACCTGCCTTGTCAGAGCAGTACCCTGCGCACACGCCTCATGGGCCAAGTAGGGCTTGGAGAGATTCTTGAGTGATATCTATTTTGGTGGCCCTGGGGCCAACAATTATGTTGCTTATGTTCCAAAAAAGAGGGGTAGTACACTATGCCGCAGGATATGCCTGTTATGGCATCATTGTCTATTGAAAATTTTTAAGTTATCCGCACAGACACACTCTCTCACTCCACCTCTGTCCCTGCCATGCAACATCTCACTCCCTATCTGTCCCTACCATGCAATGTAGAGGCCCTTGTGCTCTGTGTCCAATCTTATGACATGTGGATTTGGTAATTCTTGATTATGCTTATTGGACTTTGTGCACCACTCAGATTGTTGTACCAGCTGACTGTTGGAGGTCAGCATGGACACATATCATGACTAGTGTGCCGTTGTCAGTATCTGTAAGGGTGTACTCACGCCAAACAGCCCTTCCATGCACCCCAGGCACCTGCTATCTGCGTAAATATATTTCAGCGAGAAGCATGTTGCTCACCAGTGCTGTCAAGCACTTGAATGCTTGGTTGCTAGTGGCAATTTGACGCAGACGGTCGTCAATTTCAATGTAGAATGGCGTTGTTTTGTGATGTTGTAGCAGATGTAATCTGGAGAATATATAGGCCAAGCTGATGCTACCATTTGATTGGACAACAAACTACAAGCCAGCAAGTAGAATGGCATTGTTTTGTGATGTTGCACCAGATGTATTCTGGAGAATATATAGGCCAAGCTGATGCTACCATTTGATTGGTCAACAAACTACAAGCCAGCAAGTAGAATGGCATTGTTTTGTGATGTTGCACCAGATGTAATCTGGAGAATATATAGGCCAAGCTGATGCTACCATTTGATTGGACAACAAACTACAAGCCAGCAAGTGCGGTGGTTCATTGCTTGAGCTGATAGAACTGAGTACATGTTTGGTGGTCTGCATTGCTGGTCCTTCCCTCAGGCTTCAAAGGCTAACCCAGCAGATGGGCTAGACTAGTCATTTGGTGTGGCAGCGTGCTGTCAGCATCCCCCCACACACACACTGGACTTGCTGGGTAGGCACAAGGTACAGGCAGACAAGATGCTGCTGTAAGGCGAATCCAGAACTTGCATGCAACACAGCATGTGTCAGATCCTGGCAGTTATCCTTGTCGTCCATCTGCTCTTCACCAATCACACAATATCCTGATGCAGACCTCCCCATGCATCTCTGGCTGAAAATCAGCCATTGTTTTTGGTATCTGGTGCTGGGTATTTGCTTTGGTCTGGTTTCTGCATCACTCTGATCAGGTGTTCATTCTATTTCTTGCTGATGGTGATTTCTTTGTCATCAGGGATACTGCCCTTGTGGGGAAGTCTGTCAGAATCAGATGTTCTCCAAGAGAAAGTATGCCAAAGTTGACAGGGTGAGTGCTGCTGATGCAGACGATTATTGGAACTGCTATCCATTATGTATGGATATGATGCAGACTGTCACTTCAACACATGGTGATGCAGGAATTGTCAAAACTGGATTCTTGTCGTTTGCCCAACTTCCTTGGGCTTGACCTTGTCAGAGCCAAAATTGAGTCCAACTTGATTCTCTCTCTCAGTCATGAATTCATTGGGCTCATTACAACAACAGCTGCAGTCGGCTTCTCGATTTGCATCATTGCAATTGATGAACCACTGCCATGTGCTACGAGTGCCTGTATTATATTTTGAACGTTTGCTCATATTCCAGTGCTCCCTGGAGTGCTGAACTCCTCTTCTTTGAGATTGAGCGTTCATTGTGTAACAACCAAAATTTAGGCTTGATACTGACGTGCACTTGTTATGTGGTGGCACAAGGCCTGCACCTCTTTGGGTTGGGATGAGAGTGACACTTGGACTCTTGTTGAACTTGATGTAATATTCTGGTGTCAGAAAAAAGAGCAGCAATTGGCCAAGGGCAGTGTGAGTGTGAGTAGCAACTTAGGCTAATCCATACCAACCCGAGCCAGCTGAATGTGTGCTGGAGGTGCATGACATTGTGCTCAGCACTGCTTTGGTGTCAAAGGAAGGACTGCCAATCTTTGCAATTGTTTGGAGGTCATAGGTAACGCTCATCTCTTGGGGTTGAGACCTTGGACATCCATGAATGTGGGAGTCCATCTCTGAAGCGCAGTCTTGTTGGTTGTTAGTACACCTAATGCCCCAGAGCAAAACCAACAAAGAGACAGAAATCTAATCAGAAAAATAAAATGTAAATATGAAATATAAGAATAAGTGTAAAACACAAATGGGCTGCAGCAGTTATGTGGTTTTGGCTTCTTGCTGAACTGCTGCCCTGCTTGGCTGATGCATTGGCAGCAAAGAGCGGGCCCCAAGGGCTTTGGACTGTTTGCCCTGGAGGACATCAGGGAGGGCCAGTTCGTTGTCGAGTACATTGGTGAGGTACTGGAAGAGGAGGAGTATGAGCGGAGGAAGCGGTACTATGCTGCCACAGGACAGCGCCACTACTACTTCATGAATGTTGGTAATGGGGAAGTCATTGATGCTTGCCGCATGGTGAGATGGAGACCAGGGGTTTGGATGTGAAATGAGCCGATTGTCCTTGCTGTTGACATTTCTTCACCAACTTTCACGGCCTGGGAAACAATATGGCCTCAGGGCTACTCATCAGGAGGGGGGGGACCCCATTGTGTGACCTGACTGCTCTCTGCCTGGAAGAAAACCTTCAAATATCTCGAACAACACATTGGACATGACATGCTGTCTTGTCTAATTTTGCCCATTTGTCCTTGGCATACTGTCCTTGATGTATTTGTACCGCACATTGTCAATGCCAACCAGACTGTGAGAGTTTTGTGAAAGAGCAGTACTGTCGCAAGGTTCATGTGGTAGCCCCATGATTTGCCCAGTCGTTTCTTGAACAACCACAATGTGGCTAGTGGGCAGTGTGAACTCTTCTGGTAGCCGCCTGGCCAATCGACTGCACTCTGAATGCAAACCAGCACTGCACACCAGTGTTGAGGCCGTTCCAGGTTTGTACTCTTGGTGCACTTGGTGTGCATGAAGACAGTTTGTCTGTTGCATTCACAGCCAGTTCATTGATGTCCAACTGCTCGGATGAACTCGGATATATGGGCCCTGCTGTATCAACCACACCTGCACATGTGCCAATGTTCGAGTGTTCTGATGTTGATAGCACCAACAAGCCTGCGGTCATTCAAATTCTGAAACACTTCATGGCAGGGATGCATTCGATCTCTTTCAAAACTTCAAGGTGAATCTGTGGCCATGAACCGCGTCCCAGACAGTTAGCTTGGAAGACCTGTGAACTTCCACTGCTTTACACTTGCAGAGGATTCAGGCCTGCACTGGCCACTCCCGCAGGCCACATGAGGTGGAAAACTCACAAGGTTTCATATTTCCCATGTGCAGGGGAATCTGGGCCGGTTCATAAATCACTCCTGCGATCCTAACTGCGAAACCCAGAAGTGGGTGGTTCAAGGAGAGCTGGCCATCGGCCTGTTTGCCACCAAGGATATCATGGCAGGCGAGGAGCTCACCTTTGATTACAACTTCGATCGATATGGCGACCGTCCCATGCGCTGCTACTGTGGCACTGCAAGGTCAGGTCATTCCAATTCGATTGAATTGATCTGATAGTTGTCATGGTTGTATCATCATTATTTGTAAGCTCTAAAATGTGTACACTATTGCATCATCACAGTTGATTGTATCATTTAAAAGATCGATGGTTAGACACGTTGTGTACCTAGTTTGGGCTATGAACAGAAAAAGTGTGTACTGTTGAACAGTGACAAATCTCTCCCTTGCACTTTCAAGGAGATGGCGTACAGAATTTGATCCACTTCTTTCGAAATGCTTGTTTTTGAGCACACAGAAATGCCCCCCAAGTCGTAAAGACTGGGGCAGCTGGTGCGGACTTGTGCTGCGTTCAACTTTCAGAGGCCTATGAAACAGGCCTGTGTGGCTTCAAGGCAAGGTGTGCCAGAGATTTGCGATGCATCGAGATGAACTATTGCCCAGGAGGCGGTACTTCTACAGCAACTGATTTACTTGGAGCATATTGGAACCTGAAGTGCTCTCTTTGAATCTGAATTGTTCTGATTCTTTTGTTTCTTTCCCCCAAGGTATGTAGGTATTGTCATTGGCATCAAACTCTCACAGACGATGTGTTTTGGCCTTTGTTTCTTCTCCCTTCCAACAACTATTGGAAATGCATCGCACATGGTCACTGAATGGACACAATCCAGCCCATTTTGACAACCATTTTATTTGTTTATTCAAACCGTTTGGATGAAGAACACAAAAAAGCGTTTTCACAAGGCTTGAGGGTGAATCAAGCAACAGATGATTTCTTCACTGAAATCAACATCCAGGGGCACCTGGTATCCAGCACGTTGGCAGTACAGCCAGAATCCCATTTCCTTGTGTGTGGCAGAAACATCTTACTGCAGACGCAGGCATTTGTTAGGATTAAATACAAGCGATGCTTGCATGAAAACACATAATGTAAGCCATTCTTGAAATGCCATGTTTGTTTTTGTTGCTGCCAGGTGTCGAGGTTTCATTGGGGGCACAGATGAGGGATACACCAACGGCACGACGGAGGTTCAGGACGAACTGTCAGATGACATGGAGCCGATCATGGTGACACGAGAAGAGAACGATCCAGCCATGCAGGCAATCTTGGACATGGGCGTGGGGCTGGCAGGCCACCATGGTTGCAAGGCTGTGGAGATGAGGAAAAAGTGGGTGTGCTGTGCTGGTGCTGTTGTGCCAGCAAATGCGGACTTGCCAGGGTTGCCAATGCCTGAAATGTGTGGTCAACTTTTTCTGTTCTGAGGTGAAGATCCGAAGTCATGAAAATCTGCTCAAGCATTTGCAGGCACATTCATGACACCTGTGTTTGTGGATGTTACTATATAACTAAGGCTGAGTTTTACATATGGTGTACATTGCATTTGAATATCTGAGTAAACAATACAAACATTGTGTTTGGACCTATAAGGGAATAATATGCATTGTATCGGTTTTGAACGCATTTGCAACTTCCACAAGAGGCAATTTGCATCGCCATGAGGCATTATCACTTTGATGAAGATAGATGTAGTCAAACAGTTGGATGTGTTAACATATGGTAAGAACATTCACTTGCTGTTTCTCCCAAGCCAGTTTTGGATTCATGCAGAGACTCTTCCCAACCTGGATGCCTGTACATTGTTGTGTCTTGTTGCGAAAATTGTTGCACCATATTAAGGAGTCCCAATCCAAAATAGGTGATTCCAGGTGACAGCCCAAGCTCAGCAAGCAGAATGAGCCCCCATTGCCGCCTCACAGACAAATGAAGGCGATGTGAAGCCCCAGGGATTGATCGCACGAAAATGAATGCCCCTTCTCAAAGGAGTTGAGTGGCTGTCCAACGTTGTGACTGTGAAGCAACATGCTCACACTCCCACAGTGTTTCAACAGCCACTGCCCCCGAACAGCCCTGAACACTGCCATTTTTGATGCTGATGTTCAGGATGCAGAAGCTTTTTGTTGCCCATGGCCTTGAAGACAACCTTGGGGGCGACTCCAGCGATGATGATCTCAGCTGGATTGACAGGAATTTCAATCTGGCACTGCACCCCGATGATACGGCACCGCCACCCAGGCAGAAGAGCGCCAAGGGGAAGCTGGGAGCACTACACAGTGGGTCTCCACACAAGAGGGGCAAACAAAAGAAGAGGGCCACCTGTGAGTGGAGGAATTCATCAAGCACATCAATCGTGAAATCATCGTTTATGAAATATATCAATAACATCAATTGAAACTATCGATCAAATCAAGCACAAATCCTTCAAGTAAATCAATTGCAAAACAGCTGTGGAGGTGAGGAGATCTGTCAGTAAATCAAGCAGAAAATCCATCGGTAAGGTGCAAATCCTTCAAGTGAATCAATTGTATACCAAGCAGAAGCTTTTCATACCAGGCATGTACGAATTCTTTAGCATCCAGGCGGAACTCCTTCAACTATTTCAGGTGCAGATCATTCCGAGTATGTGACATACCCAAGCTCGAAGAGTCACAAAGTGACGAGATTAACGAGTGACAAAACTCATCCTTTGCATCTGCTAAGCGATGCCAGGCATATAGCTGCACTCAGAATGTGCTGATGATGATCTGCACAGACACTGAGTTTCCTGCATTTGAGTGCCAGACAGCGTAAGCAGTGCTGCATGTGTTGCAAGTGGTGTAGTGCTGCATGACATGCACAGCCACAGTTGCCCTGCCAGCACCAAGTAGCAAAAGATGGGGCTTGTGTGTTGGACAAATGCAACTGTAAATCAGAATTACTCTGGCCACTGTTGGTGCTGAGCAGTGCATGGCTTGGCATGTGGAACATGTGCCTCTGCCAGTGGCAGTGGGATGTTGAGGGTGGGCCCCTGACTGATGTGGAACAAAGCCATGGAGCAGCCTGCTCGATGGCCGCATTGCTTCCATCTCAGAACGTAAAGTGTAAAGTGTCGTGGACAATTCTGTTGAACACATCATCGGTGTTGGTGCCAAACACTTGGAGCTCTGCGAGGGGGTGCAGCCCTACATGGCATTTGGCACAGCAAAGAGTTCAAAACATCGTTTGTGAACATTGGAGGGGGAAGACAGCAAAAACTGCCGATCGGTTGTTGGATGGTAGTTGATGCGCACTGCAGGATAGGGCTGGCACGCATGGCTATGAATCGTGCATGTGCTGTTGCAAAGGTTGAAAATAGGCTAAAATCGTGCAGCATGACGTGCAGATTAACCACATGGTTAGTGATATGGTTCAACTGTCTCCACTGTGTGTAGGTTGGAAACACTGCCCAACATCGCCACTTTGGTGAAAGCGCTTTTGCTTTGACTTGTGGCGAATGTAATCAAAACAAGGATTAGAGAGTCGCTTTTGGATGTAGTATGTTGCAAGAGCAGTGCCACTGTGTGTAGGTAACAGCTACAAGATACACGTTTGGAGAAAGTGCATTGAGAAGCACAAAATTAGAAATGTACATTTTAAAAGTACACCTCCAGAATGCATGCAGGTTGACATGTGTGGGCCTTTGTGCTGAATTGGGCAGCAGACAAAGGAACACATAAATTTTAGCAAGTTGTCAATGGATGGGGCTCAAAATATAACGTTCCTGTATTGCCCTAGGCCTTGGATGTGCCATGAACTGCTGGTATATTGTATTCATAGGACTTCCATACAGGTTGAAACTCGAGAGCAGCCGTGTATGTGCATGTGCACACGTGCCCGGTGTTGAAATCTCGCTTTTGTTTTCCAGCACCCGATGACATCGAGTCCAAGCCCCCGGGCACTGCCCAAAAACTGCAACGTCGTCAGTCTGCAAAGACCAAGGTGGGAGGCAAGTTTCAGATCCTGCATGGCAGGCGGAGGCACAGGGAGGGGGGCCAGGGCGCAGCACCATCGTCGCCCGGCAGGGCCAGTGGCAAGAAGACAGGGGGTGGGTATTGTTGTGCCGTTTGATTGGTTTTTGAAAATTACTTTGGGAATTAGGGCTTGTTGAGGTGGGGCTGGGTGGCAGAGAAGTATCAGCATCGGTGGCAAAGATCCATCAATGGTCATCGACTGCAGAATGGGCCTGTACGTGTGTGTCCGTGTGTGTTAGATTACGTTAGGGTGTAAACTTGTGAAGCATGTTTGGATTTGGATAAATGTTGGGTGCGAATGGACAAGAATGGAAGCAGAGCAGCACTTGTTGTGCCGGGTATTGTCAATTGGCTGGTCCATCTTTGCCTGGCCTGAACGTTTGTGGGTCCATGCTATGTGGTATGTGGCATGCTGGTTTCTCTTCTTGAATCACACAACATCCATGGCTTGGCAACGAATCTCAAGAGAATATGGTTTATGCCGCATTCAACACGGTCTCTCAGTGTTTGTGGCAGTTCAATTTTGTAATCAAGACGGAGGATTTGATTATTTGCTTCTTGATGCAGTGAGCTGGTGACCTGACCTGGACCACGCTTGTCTGAATGTCTGTGTTTGCTGGCAGTGTTCCAACCACGGCGGAGTGAGGTGGACAGGAAGCTTGAACAGCTGCTTGGGCCTGTGTCGTCCCAGAAACTCAACCCTGACAAGGACGAAATTGTCAAGGTACTGAAGGTTGCCTGGTCCATTCGTTCATCCCTGTCGGCGCGCAATCTGAATGTGTGTGCACAGGTGTATCATTTTTGCTTTCCTACTCAATGTCTCATGAGGGCCCGGAGTGCCTCATGATGGTCTCTGCACCCAAGCATGTGCACAAAGGTTCGCTCTTCTGTAAGTCACCCTCATACTGCTGTGTCGGAGAAACTGCTCCAATGTATATTTGCAAGGATGGCCACTCTCATGCTTGACGTGTTTTCTGGATTCTTAGATGCCTAAAAGGGTGCGCACACAGACAACATGTAATGTAATGTATTGCCCAATACCGCCTGCATTTTGCCAGGACAGAACCGTGTCCAGTGTTTTTGAAGATCCCAGGAATTCCGTTCCAGTGTGTGGAGAGCACTGGTGGGTCTGCAGCAAAATTACTGACTTGCAGCTGCGGTGTGTCACTGTGGTGTGTCACTGCGGTGTGTGCACTTCTGCTGCTGCTGCTGTGTGCTTCTGCTTGAATTCGTCAGGAGCGTATCAAATACCTTGCCCATTGCCGTGCAAGCCACGAAGGATGGCACTCTTGTGGCAGCCTTGCATCCAACCACAATGCAATGCACTGGCAGTCTTGTGTTGGTGCTGTTTTCCCTTTAGTTTCCTCTGGTTTGCAAAGAACAGTCCGACCGCTGCTGTTTTCCTACCTTATTCAAGACTGCAAAATTGATGCTTGCAAGTACTGTCACTCCCTCGCTCGTACTGCCACTCATCTTGTCATCCTGTCAGTTTGTGCAGTTCACAGTGCACTGCACTGCACAGTGACTCAGCGCAGCTGTCTGCATCGAGTGCAGGCGACTGAATCCCCCTTGTCTGTGTGCGCAAGGTGCTCCGCCTCTTCAACCTGTGCAACTTCGTCCCGAACCGCCAAGAGCAGGAGCGCAACAGGTCAAACAGCCACGCTGGTGACGGCGCCGATCCTGACAACGACCGGGTTAGTTCGAACCACTACGCACAGTGCAGCGAGGACAGTGACACGCCGCTGACGTCACGGCAGTGGGCCAGGATGGCGGACCTGATCCTGCTTCTGAATCTGGTGTTGAAGTCTGTACAGCCAAGGTGGGGCAACGGTGAGAGTTAAGTGATGTGAACTCTGCAGTAGAATAGCTTTGTGGGCCTACACTGTGAGCTTGAACAGTGGATGATTGCCTGCAGCCACGAATGAACGAAAGCGCCTGTGGAGATGATTGTATCTGCGAATATTGATTTTTTGATCCAATGCACCATAGTATGAGGTGGTGATGGTGTCCTGCTGTTGAAAGGCAAGCAGCTGGGGCTTTGAAAGTAGGGATGCACAACTTTACGCTGTCTGATGTCTGCAACAGATTGTAGATGACAGAGGCTGTTCAGTGCGTTGAAGGGACCTATCCCAGCATTGTTTTTTCCTGATAACCTTTCTGAGAGACAAGTGGCAGCCCACTCTCTGGCAGCACAAGATGTGCACGTAAACCCAATGATACACCCACAGTGTGCCATGCCAGTAGAATGTCCTTAGGATGCCCAACCTTGTTTGTTGCAGCCACAAACTGTTTGTGTTAGACTGGGTTGTGATATGCTTCGCATGCGACATCCCCAAGCAGATGTCGGCCGGTGTTTGTGCTCTGCTTTGGTTGTAGCAGCAAATTTCAGGTCTGTCCTGCTGTCCATGTGGTCACATAGTGTGCGGAACAGGAAGTGAAACACGTTGCAACGAAATGAAAGCCAATAGTTGTACATTGCTCCCTGTGAGTGCAGCCACTTCCCAGTTTTCATTGCCCTTTTAAAGGAAGTCAAGTTAATAGCCAATGCATATACAGAATATGTGCATCCCAGACAGGCACCTGGGGTAAGTGCTGCAGGCCCAAACATTTGACATGATTTTCTGCCATATCATGACCCCCATGACAGAGGCCTGACACTTTTTGGGTTTGTTTGTCACTGTTATCTGATTGGCAGCAAAACAACAAAAACATCATGGTTTTAAACCTTGAATATATAATGTGCTTCAGAACAACATGACATAGCCCCTGTGCATGCACAAATGTGAGCAACACATCTTTGTTCTGGATCGTTACAGAAATTGCTGGTGTTATCGGCATTGTTGTCACTATATTGTCATTGTTGTCATACTATTGTCAGTGTGAGTCAACAGTGACTCAGTGACATGATAGAGTAACTGGTGAAATCAGTATGGATATGCATACTGCTGCAGAGTGAAGAAGATGGTCGTGGAGTGTGGAATACTGTCACAGCTCCAGGGACTCATTGGCCGAAACACGGGGCGTCAGTACAGCGTGATCCTGAGGAAGATCCTGAAGGTGGGACTGGCCACTCCATTTCAGCACAGCAGCTAAGCATGGGCTCATCGATTGCGAAAATCCCAGAGGCATTCATCTCTAGGATTCATTCCCTTGACTGTGCTGGGCTTGCAGGCCATGTGAACTTTTGTGATTTTGGCTAGTGCACCCACAGTATGGATGCACTGTCACCAATTACACAAAAATACAGAAAAAATGACGTGGATTCTGCATCAGTTTATTTTTGGGTTGCGGTCATTTGCTGACTGTTAATACAGGTGGTGGAGTCCCTGCCGTTGACATCCGACGACTTCCACGCCACACGATCCGGCGTGGGCACCTTTGCGGACCTGCTGAACACCCTCTCCCTCAACACTGACACCGAGGTGCGCACCCGGGCCACCCACATCCTCAAGAAGTTCCGCATGGGGCCCCCACCCGGAAGCTTCCGCAGCCACACGAATTCCAGCTCTGCCACTGGTTACTCAAACTCCAGCTCCGGTCATGCAAACCCTGGGCCTGGGTATTTTCATCCCGGCAGGAGGCGGCCGCCTGGAGGCACCCCCCCGTGGGCGGCCCCCTCGCCCTCGCCCCTGCGCCTGGACGACAGGCCTGACAGGTTCGACCCAGCCAGGAGGGGGCGATACGGATTTGGCGATTCAGTGCAGGGGCAAGATGCGGGCGTGCTGCGGAGCAGCCAGTTTCTTGAATCTGGCCATGGACCAGGGGGCCCAGGATCTGGCCACGGACCAGGGGGCCCGGGATCTGGCCACGGACCAGGGGGCCCAGGATCGCTGAGCTCGCTGCCTGGCGGGTGGCGGGCCAGCCGGGCAGACACCGGGCCACCAGTGGCGGGCCACGGAGCCCAGATGCCGATGCGGCGGCCATCGCCCGCGGGTGGGGGTCTGCCTATCGGAGAACACGGTCGGATTGGTGGCATCGAGGTTGGGAGGGGCAGAGGGCGGTTTTCGGCAAACGGGGAGGATCGGCGGTGGCGGAGAGCTCCAGGGGGTGAGGCGCGAGCTGAAGAGGGTGAGTGTCATGGGGTTGCGGCTTAATGCGGTAGTGTTTTGTTCCATTTTATGTTATCTGTTTGTGGTGTGCTTTTAATTGTCTTTGGGCAGATTGAGCGCAGCAAAGTACTACAAAGTGTCAGGCCCAGCACCTAATGTACCCCAAGAGAAGGGAATCTTTTCAAGCATGCACACATCATATCAGATATTGAGTGCGTCCCTTGCCCTGATGCACGCGGTGGGACTCCTATGATGCAGTCTGCCAGAACGGATGTCCAACTGTGGGCATCTGTGGTTCCGGCTGTCTGCGTGGTTGCTGCAGACTCAGCACCAAGGCTTGTTCTGCAAAGCAGGCAGCAGGCACGAGCAAAAGCACATTGGCAACCAAGCCATCCACTGATGGCCATGATGGTGCTGGCACCATGAAATAGGATATGTTGCAAGTTTCACCTTTCGAAGATTTGACCCCACTCTGCTGCAACCTTTGGGATTCAGACGCTTTCTAGCCATTTAGTCACTAGAATTGTCTGCTCATACCTCAAGACAGCTTTTGTATCCACGCCATTATGCTACATACAGCATACATATGTTTACCAAATGTGCATGCATATGCATGCGTTTCTGTTTGCGCACGTTTGATTGCTTACTTTTGTCAACATAGACACAAACACGTGCCCAGGCACCCACAAGGCGATGAAGGAACTCTCTGTACCTGTGGGGCAGAATGGGCAGATGGAAAACAGCCAAATCGAAGTGATCATCCATCATGCCGTTCTCTGTGGCACTTAGCACCTCTGTCACGCCACTATCCCCCTTCGCGAAAGAAGAGAAAGAAAGAGAGGAGACGAAAACGAGAAGGGTCCAAGAGGATCAGGAAAAGTGAGCCAGCCGCCGATGGCATGCAGCACCTGCAGAAATGAAATCAACAGATGGCAAAAGCAATAGTAAAAGGAAATGATGCCAAGAAAGAATAGGGTCACAACAGGAACTGATAACAGTAAAAATGGCATATGGCAGAGTCTGGTGAAGGTAGAAAGTTGCAAAACGTAGCAGAGACTCGATGGGTTTTCTCTTGTTGGCCAGTGCAAATGAACTGTTGCCAGGGTAGCTGCAGAAGGAACTGCCATGAAATAATATTTTCTGTTGATCGACACACTTATTCTTTGCAACAACATCTGCACAGATAACAACGATGCAATGAATAGCCCCTGTGGATCAATACAATTGCCCCAATGCAGTGATATTTGCAGAAATCAAGTTGAGCATATGATGATTGGTGAACCAACAGAAGAGGGCTGCCTCTGTTCAAATCTGTATAGTATTGGACGGGCGGCCCACATCATGAGGGTGTATCCAAACATGGAGCCACATTGTAGGTTAAACTCTGTGTGCTTCTTGTGCTGCAAATTCAGTGTTTCGTGCTATTGTTTTAACACTGCGGACACAAGGTGTAGAAACAAAAGATAAATGGTTGGCATGGGATCACATACATGTGTTTGTTTTGAATTGTATTGCAGCAGGGATCCAACCTGTGCAAACATGGGCCACTGGACGCTCAGCCAGCATGCAGCAGCCACGATTGCCACCTGGTGGGTGTGCATTTTGCCAGATTAGACGTATCAATATTGTTTGTTGGAGCTGTGTTGAATCCCCACCATAGTGATCGCCTTGAAAGGCAGATGGATTATTGGCTGTATGAATCATCTGTATCTCGTTTGCATCCTTGGGCTTCCACACAAATTGGAATATCTTCTTCTCCCACTTTGGTCAGTGTCTCTGGTGCTGCCTGAAAACTTCACATGGCACAGCTTCTCAATGTGGTTGTACTCCTATTGGCCAGAAGCAAAGACCAAGCAGAGCGCGTTGATCCTTTAAAACCTGGTCGATGTGGGCAGGCAACCTGTACGTGTCTGGCTTGGATTCTTGGTGTTCTGGTCGCCATTCCTGCAGCCCAAGAAGATGGCGTTAAACTTTGCCAGCCTGTGCTTCACAGTTGCGATTCGGAAGTACAAATGCGCACAACAAAACATCTCTTTGCATTGGGAGCAAGCACTGAGATCTGGTGTGAGGTGGCGTGCATCTGGGGAGATGCAGAATTGGGATTGAAAAGAAAGCTGTTGAGAATGCAAAATGGTGTCCCTACTCAGGCATTGGGGCCGGCGACAGGCAGCGAGGGTCCCCTGCACTCCAGCCACAATCGTTGTCAGCGTTTGGTGCCAACAGGGAGCTGAGCTGTGAGGGGGACCGAGGCAGTGAAGAAGGCTGGAGGAGGGATGGGGGTCTGGGGGCCCCTGACTCATTTCCCCCTGGCACTAAACGGCAGCGGGTGTCGCCCCCAGGTATGGAAGCGGCAAGCAGCCATTTTGTGTTATCAATAAAGTATTGTTGTCTTGACAGTTGTTGTTTTTGTCTGCCCAAAGACATGTGCATCATCGCTGGTGAAGGTCGCTGGGATGCCCAACCTTGACAGCTCGTCCCTTGTGAACGCGGAAAGTGAAGGGTTGTCGTGCTGCTTGGTGTCCTCAGATTTGTGGGCGTTGCTCATGTGTTGCGATCTGCATTGAATGATTCCTTGCCTATTGGCCACCGCAATGCCTATCTCAATGTCTGCAAACACGCCTGCTGTTTCCTGCCAGCTATTACACAGTTAGCCTGTGAGGTTGTGTCAGCTGTTGCATTGTTAATGGCAGGTTGCTCGCTTGCAGGGATTCCATATCATGCACAGCAAGGCCCCTCTGCTCAGATGGGCACGGTGCCACCGCTGCCAGATGATGCCCCGCCGCCGCTGCCTGAAGGGACGCCTCCGCAGTCGCCCAGCCCCCCCTCTCCGCCACTTGATCCAAACTCAGTGCATTGTGGGGGCGATGTTGTATCAACTGAAAACAGAGGTGGGTGGGGAAACTGACCTCAGTCAATCAGTTCATCGTTGTATCTGCCAGTCGATCAGTCAACTTCACTTGGGAGTCTGACTGCAATAGATCTACCGTGGTGTATTCAACCCTCCCAAACAAATTTACCCCTTATGCTTTTTGCTCCCCATTTTGCTTTTCAGTGCTTTATTTATTTTACCGTGTTGCTCCTCAAAATTTTTAATAATTTTTCTCTGCAAAATTGGCCAAGCGTTGCATTATTATGCAGAAAGGTGAAATGATTCATGGTATCCGCCAGTCATTCCTGATGTTGGCCATTTAGTCAGTCAACCAATAAAGTTGCTGTTGACCTGTTGTTTTCGCAGCATTGTCATGGCACCAGTGGACATGGCGAGCTCCAAAGCAGCGCGTCTCTCCGCACCAGCACTGCCAACAATAGAGCGTCCGTGGGCGGCCTCGAATTCTTGCCATGCCCAGCTTCTTCTTTCTGTGGAAGTGCACATGGAGTACATCAATGACACCAATTCAGTTGGAATTTCACAAAACAACGTCAAGCTGTGACATTTCATCACCCATGCTGTAGTCCTCTAGAATAGCCTCACGAGATAAAGCGGAGCCCTTGCATCATACAGGTGTTGATTGGTATGTACGCATGCGATCATGCATCCAATAACGCATCTAATCATCACCCATGCCTGCATCAGCCGATGTTGCTCCCACACAATTTGTCGAGCTGGACGTGGAGACGCTCTTTGCCAATGGCGTCTACGGCATCCTGCAGTTCATGGGCGGCAAGGAGGATACAGATGGCCCCCATGGGCACCAGGGCCCAATCTCGGCCTTGGATGCCCCGCAACCCCCGCCGGCCCCCAGCTGGGGGTCCAGCAAGGCCCCGCATCTGAACGACCCCACACTGCCAAGCCCCGGGGATGAGCTGCGCAGCCCAGCGCCCTTGTGGGGGGACAGCCCCCAGCTTGGGCCCGATGGGCCGGGGGAGGGGGAGTGGGGCAGGAGGCCGCCCAGCTCCGACGGCGTGACGCCGCCAGAGGGCCTTTCACCAGACCCGTTTGGGACGCTGCTGCTGGGGACGGCCTCGGGGGAGCAGGACGTTTTGGAGCGTGATGTGGCAGGTGGGCGATTGAAACAGCAAGACTTCGTGATGGACATTGGTTGGTTGGCTTTTTCAGTTAGATTTGTTCAAAATTTTTTCAGATTTCAGATTTTTGATCAGAATAGAGTTTTTTCCATTTTGTGTCTTTTGTGTTGCTGTGTGAGCAATTTCGGTCGCCCCTGTGTGGGAATGAATGGCGTTGAGCTGCGGCTGAGGGTGCCTCATCCCATGGGCTGGCACCCGAGCCTTGACATTGCATCAACGCTACTGTTGGTTTTGGCAAAACTTGTTGCCTGACTGAGAGACTACTACCAGTGATTAATTGTGGAGCTAAAGGTACACCAACTTCTGAATATTGAACTAAACCACTGAGCATATTGCGATTCAAGCGAAAAGACTGCAGGACTATTTCGATGCCCACACCCTGCGTTTCCACCAGCACTTTGATCTGAACCTTGTCCTGCACACCAAAGTTGGTTCCAGCCTTGATGTCATGCTGGCACCTCCCTTATTCACGGGTCGCCTTGCCTTCGTCTCCAATCACTGCCTTGAGAAGTCCACTTTCAACGCACAGCATTTTTGGGCTGATTGCCGGTATCAGATGGAGTTACAGCTGCCCATCACTTCACTCCAAACCCTGACAGAGCTCTCGTGCTTTTTTCGATGTATGATCGACAATCCCTTCTGGTAGAAATGGGACTAGCAGATGCTGCCATGCACTGGCACGATGCTTTGGTTTTCACTGAACCAATCATGGACACAGCTTTTCTGAGGCAAAAGAGGGAGCCAAAGGCTACCTCTCTGCCTTGGTCAGCAACATATCTTGACCGAAAGGACTCCATGTCTTACGATTCAGGACCCCTGTCTGCCTGACATGTGGCTAAAGAAAACCATTTCATCAACAAAATTGGGGTTTCTGCCCAATTCACACACCCTGGGGTTGTGGAAGCACTCTGATGGAGTGGGCATGTAAGAGTTATAGGGCCACTACTGGCTTAGCACAAGGGCTGACGATTGTGTACCGCTGACTTGCTCACAGGTTAAATCTGGGGTACAACTATGCTTTGAAAATGAGGCTGTACACATGCATTGCAAGAGTAAGAGAGATGCCTTGAATTTGAGATTCCTTTGGTACAATGGTTGGACTAAAAGCCATGCCCCGGCCATGGTATTTCCTTTTAGAAATGGGTTGTCTTTTCTTACCCTTGCAGGCGACCTCTGTTGTTAAAACACACCACACAGAGTTCTCAAACCCCTGCAACAGTGCCACTTCTCTCGTTTCTTCCTTGAGACCAAGCATTCTTCTGGATTCTAATGATTTTGGGGCCTTTATGTTGCCTTGCACTCTGTTGCTACGTGGCCCAGGGGTACATATTTTGTGATAAGATGGGGGAGGCATCTGGACGCTGAATCGTGATGCAACATTTGGAATGGGGAAAACTGTGCCAATCCACACATGCTGACACCGACCTATTCTACCCTGTGCTGCAGTGGCAGGCCCCGACCACTGGGACGAGCCCAACGGCGACTTTGAGGCCTTTGTGTCCTGCACACTGAAGCACAAGCTGGCCAAGTACGTGCAGCCGGACCACCCACGCTCCATTTCCCGGGAGGAGGCCAACCGCCTGTACCGCCGCCTGAGGGACGAGGTAATCGGCGCAGAGCGGGCGGCCTTCAGGGAGCATGGCCAGCGTCATGGGAGGCGCACCATCGAGCGCACCAAGATGGAGTCCAACATCAAGGAGTACGTGAAGCAGAGGGTGTACAGGCTGCATGGGGCGTCCAGTAGGGTGTGATGCAGGCCCAGTGGGAGTGTCAGTGGGCGGATCTGGTGAGGAAGGACACTGAGAATGCACCGAGGAGGCCAGACGCCGATGACCCATGGATTCAGAGGGCGTGACGGGCTGGAGCCTGTGAGCGCTGGAGCGAATGCCGGCTTGCCCCGCTCATGGGAGATTCTGCAGATGCTGCAGGGATGCGCACGATTCATGGCCTGGTGCGGTCGCGGCCCCTGGCCTGTGCGCCCCAGCCGCTCTCTGAAGCTCTCCTGGACGCTGGGTCCCAATTCTGAAGCCCCAAATGGTGGGTTCCCTCACTGCGGGCCTTAAGAAACCGAATTCACTGCTCGGCGCCCAGGAATCCGGATTGAGATGCAGTCAAGGTGCGGGATGCGGGTGGCCAAGGCGGGCGGAACACAGGCGCAGTTGTAGCAGGACTATTTTTTCGGCGAGCAGGGACAGGGCAACGGGGGCCGTCGCCCCTGGGGCGCTAATTGCGGAGCGAGGAGCGACGGAGAGTTGCAGTTGTTCCCATTTGTCCTTCATTGTTGGGCGGGCGGCGATGCGCAAGACGGAAATGGGTCAGGTCGTTGTGCAGGCAATCAGGAGCGGAGCCGGGTTGTGTGCGGAGCAGGCTGGGAGGGGCTGGGCGGCCTGGGCGGCCTGGGCTTGGGACCACTGAGAGGGGCCGGCAGGATGGGGCGTGTGGGCGAAGATCCGATTGCGCAGGATGCGGTTTGGATTTGGCAAAGGCGTCCGAAACCCGTCTCTGAACTCGACCGCTGCGAAGATTCAGAAACAGGGCCAGCGATGCCCATGCCGGTGGCCTGCAGTACTTGCGGGTGGACAGGGTGACCCTCCGCAGGTGGCAGGACGGGGGCCTGGGGGTTGACGGTGCGAGCGCATAACGCAGGTGTAAAGGGCCCCCGTGGGCAAGTTTGTCACTGCAACAGTACTTTATCGACCCGGGCGGCGGGGGATTGGCCTGGCCTTTGCGCTGGTTGGAGTGCGGCCAGGGCTGGCGGGCCTTGTTGACGGGGCCAGGGACGCAGGGAGGATCATGACCAACAATATGGCAGGGTGGTATGCAGCGGCGTCAACGGCAGTCGCAATGCAATGGGCTGGGAGGGGGAGAGGGGTGCCTTCTGGCGCGGCGCGTGGCCGCAGCGGACCTAGAGGGTAATAGTAGGGTAGCTATTTATTGTAACGGGAATTTGTAACGCACAAGGATTCAGTGTACGGGTGCAGGTGACCGTGCTGGCCTCCGGGCCGAAGGGATCATGCGAATCCACGTTGGGGACTTTTGTCGGAATGCAACAGGCCGCCGACCTTCCGTATACGATCGATGCGATGTCGGCCCCGCTGTTAGAGCCTCCAATTTGTTCCCAAGATGTTCTTGCTCCCGTTCGCCAACGAGCGGCCAGTACAGCGGATTGGAAAAAACATTCCCCAGCGCCGCACGTTTTTGTTCCCATCCCAAACCAAAAGGGACCAGCTCAAACGCCGTTGTGCCCAAACGCAAACCCATGGGAGTCTCTGCATCACCTTTCCACAGCATGGCACACAGTCTCACGCACTCTCGCCTCGGAGGGGGGTGCCCGTTAGGTGACATGCATCATTTCGGCGCATAACCATCTTACCCACACCCCAGCCCCGGAGAGCCCCACCGGATGCACCGACACTCTTGACATTCAACGCTCTCAACAGCGCCACCCAAACCCCCCTTTCCGCACCAGCACACGGCGCTCGACCAAAACAGCAGAAGGAAGGGAAGGCGCCACCTGCAAGTGTCGCTGCCCGGCGGCTCCGCCCCGCTTTGCGTCGAGCCGCAGCTTCCAGCGGAGCAGGCTGCAATCGAACAACGTTCAAATCAAACCGCCAGTCAAGGACGTGACTGCAGTGCAATGCACCCCACGGGCGTCCGCTCTGCCTGCTGCAACGCTCGAAAGGCTCCTCACACACACTCTCGCTCGCCCACCAGTCCGGCCAAAACCCCAGCGCACAGCCATGGATGCAGGTCCGCACAGCCGCACCGTCAGAAATCTTAACAACCCACAACATCCACTCGAGTCGAATCGAAATGTATCGAACGGAAGGCCGAAAACCGAGACCCAATAATCGAACCCACAACCGAGCCGAACACACGAACTACACCCCGAAACCGTGCACGCAACCTGATTGGCCGCCTGACTCACCATCAACCCGGCAATCGACCGCAAACCCGCAGACAACGTATTTTCAATTTTTTCCTGCATAATTTTTGCGGACTTTTTGGCTTAATTTTACATATTTTTGTGACCATACACGTCGCCTCCGCGGTCTCCGCGGCATCACGTGGGCTTGGCCGAGCTAAGCACGAACTGGTCGACCTCCTGCTTGAGCGCCCGGCTCATGACCTCCTCCGTGACGCCCCTGGGGTCGGCGCCCTCGTGGATGACGCGGTATATGCCGTTGATGATGGGGCACTCCACGCCCAGTCGCCGCGCCAGCTGGTCTGCGGACCGCGAGGTCAGGACGCCCTCCGCCACGGCCGTCATGGACTTGGTGATGTCCGCCAGCCTCTCCCCGCGGCCGATCCTCAGCCCCACCGTCCTGTTGCGGCTCAAGTCGCCTGCCGCGGAATTTCGAAGGCAAATTCAAACTTTCAGTTTGAATTGTAAAACCCGATTGTTGCTTAATCAATTGTTGTAATACAACCATTTGAGCCGCAGCGGAGCTACAATTCATCGCCTTGCACTCCCCTGCTGGGCGGCACAAGGCCCACTTATCTTGCGACAGGACGTGGGAGGCGACTGGGCACTGAAATGCGATGTAGCATTATCTGAGTCTAAGAAAGGACACAATGAACACAGAAGTGCAACCACAACACAACTATTTGAACCGTGCACCAAGCGGCGGGCTTGCAGCTTTCAACGCAGGGCTCACGGCTTCAACCAAATGCCCTGCGCAACCGCAGCCCACCTGTGCAAGTTAGCACCAAGTCCCCCATGCCCGCCAGCCCGCCCATGGTGAGGGGATTTGCCCCTTTCGCGACCGCCAGCCTCGTGATTTCATTCAAGCCTGCATAAGAGCAGCGGCCAGGCGGTCAGAAGGATAGCTGCCAGAGCCTGAGCCACAAAATCGGTCATCGAAATTTCCCCCACGCAGCAACGTCAGCACTTGACATTGCTGCCTAACAACAACAAACAATACCATCCAAACAATTGGACGGATGGGATCCAAGCGAAAATATTTAATCCTGTCGATGAAGGAAGTCACCCACGCGGTAAGTGACGCACACACAGCGCTGGGCCCTCGCAAGCCTGACTCACTCCGCTTGTCAAACATGCTGCTGATAAGCTGATCTGTTGGATTATTTCTGTAGTTACTCATTGCTTGTCTTACATGCAAGCGTTTTTCGTTGCATTTCACACACTTCCATTTTCCAAGCATGATGGAGCAGCGTCACTCTCAAACCAAGGTCTCGATGCACTGTGTGCAGCGCATTGTGTCTTTAGCTGCCGACAGCCCTACCCCTGGTTATGAGGGCCGCCCTGCCGTTGTTGCCAAAGTTCAGGCCGTCGCATATGCCACAGGCGATGGCAAGGACGTTCTTCAGCGCACCTCCCATTTCCACCCCTGCACGAGCCAAACCATGATGCTGCAGGACAGGGAGAATGATGCGATACACATGGCACTGCTTCCACACACCATTCAAGCGGTCAATTGGCTGAATCGCTTGTTCAAATTGCTCAATGGGTTCATTTGCCCCGCCAGTCGCCCATTACGGGACAAAGGGAAGCAAAACGTTCCACTGCAGGGATCCGATTGCTGCAGAAGGGCCGACCACTCATCGCCAAGTGGAAATTACGAAGGCGCGGCCACCAAACACAACACCAAGGCTCTCGGAGCTGTGGACGCTACTCGATCTCACGCACATGGCTAAATTATGCCCGTTCTCGATTGCATCTTCCGACCTGTCGACCGTCGTTGCCTGGACGGCACAACGGGATTTGTTGGTTGCAACTAACAAAGCCCCTCGCACAATTCAAGCAAGGACGGTCGACACCTGGGTGATGCACCAAGGAGCGAAAACTGAACAACCTGCCAAGAGGACCCAGCAGCGCTGTCCATTGTCCCTGCAGCATTGCAGTTTGGAAACGCAACTGCAATAGAACTATGACTCAACTACAAAAAGCACAACTGTATGAATTATAGCTCAGAATTGAAAGAATAACAAACCTCCAAACTGGATTCAGAAGCATGGGGAAAAAAGGGCTAAAGCAAGTCCAGGTGCAAGGCCAAACCCCCAGCTTATGCGTCGGGCACCCTGCAACATTTGAGGACTCACACCAGACATTGATGAACAACGGATAACACAAATGGGGCCCCTCTACCTGTTACATCGGTCGTCCTGTAGCACCGGAAGCGCGTGGTGGACAGCATCTGCTGGACCCTCAGACCGACTTGCTCATCCTGCGCCCTACAGGCACAGGTCAGGCACACGGACGGCAAAGGCAATAGTGTCGTCACAACACATCAATGCTACGTTGGTTTAGCTCCAGTCTTAGCTATTCTGTAGGGCAGGTTTCGGTCTAGGGGGATGCCAACTGCCAAAGAGACCACGATATCGGGAAAGAACCTTCTGCGCCAACTGCAGGCCTACAGCAAAGGGACAATCTTGCATCAGAGCAGGCTGAGTTTCTGCTGGTGTTTGCAATGTCACATGGCATGATGCTCACTGAGGCAAGGAGGTTCTTTCTGTCCAGGCCCTTGGTTTTCTGGAAGAGCGTCTTCTTTTTGCATGACAACACCTGCCATCGCGTTGGGTACCTTGGTTTGATTTCCATGGGCAAGCAACAAGGGCATCATACAAATACAATATGAGACAAAAGGCAACAAGCCTTCCATGATGGAGGTGGGTGGGGCCTTATTACGGTACTCACAAGTATTCAACCTACAATTGCACACTATCCCTACTGCTCAACATGGCAGAACTAATGAAATTACTGTGATCAATGAACAGAGTCTGCCTGTTGATCCACTTGCCAAATGCAAGATGCGGTCCTGGCATCTACAAGGTGACAGTGACTGGTCTTGTGCATGCTGACATGAATGCTGTGTAGCACTTGACTTGTGGAGTCGTGGCAAATTTGGGTAAGGCGGACCTATTTTAGGTTAGCTCAACCTGACAAGGTTGCATTCACTGATTCAAGGTTTAGAATATTCAAGCACCTAATTGTATAGAAACAATTCTGCTGCATTTGCAACAAATCCGACTGTACTTGAAGAACATGGAATATACATTACATCTCGGACCTGCAGGCAGGCCCACCTTGTGCACGAACACCAGTCATATTTGCAATTGGAGCACATGGCCCGAGACATCTGCTTCAACGTGCTGCAATCCTCTGCAATGTGATCAACAGCCACTGCAAGCCGCAATTGGACAATCTATCTCTGTTCCTTGTTTCCTTGAGATGAGAAACTGAAGATGAATCAGAAACTTCAGAAAGGCAATGAGCAAACTGGAGATCCGCCCATGACAGCTGCCTGCCTCACCCCCCTACCATGGCCGCAATCGTCACAGCGGTGGGTGTCTCTCGGACGACCTCAGCTGCAAAGGAGGGGCCTGACAGAAACGCCACCTTCCCAGAGGGAAGCACGTCCTGCAGGATCTCGTCCACCGTCTGCAGGGTTTGATTAAGTATGCCTTTTGTGCAAGACACCAGAATCTGGTCCTTGCGAAACAGCTTCGCAACAGGGGCTGCCACCACAAGGGCACACATGAGGTTGGGGGACACCCACTGCCAACTGAAGCTTCCAACTAGTAGTAGTTTAGTTGTAGAAGCAGTGGGATAAGGTGTTCAGTAGCAGTTTTGGGTTCGGGAGCTTGAGTACATTAACTGCAACTCCCAGCAGCAAACAAGATGGCTGACATTCAGGAAGAGGACTGCAACATTACTTAGATGCCCCTGCTGCCATTTGAGCTTGGTGCAAACTGCCACCACGAGTTCAGACTGGGGGACAATCATGACTGTTGATGAGCAAGCCAGCTCGATTCCATTGAGCGAGGGGCCAAACATTCGCACTGAGGAAGAGCACAAGACTTTGTAAGTGCACAAAAAGGTTCCTTTCTCCACAAACTTCCCAACTATTGAGATTGCAGACTTGGTTGCATACAGGCAACCTCTCAGGTGTCACACCACCTAAGACTTTCTGGCGAGGTGGTATGAGACCCATCTCTCCTGTGAAGATGGTGTGGGCAGCTGGACTCTTGAAAATGATGCAACACTTCGGAATCAAACAAAAGAACTCTCTGTTTTTAAAGGCACACCTAGTGTGGTCGCAACGAATGGCGTGGGGACGACCATCAGCACTATCTCTCCATGTGCCACAACCTGCGGCAGGTCGTTGGTGGCCACCAGGCCTGGAGGGATTTTCACGCCTTTCAGGAATGTTGTATTTTCCTTCAGCGGCCCATTGATGCTCTCCACCACCTGAAATCAGGCCAGATGAACATCCCCAGCTTAGATGCATGGCGTACTCATAGATCGTTTTTCAGGTTTAAGTGTTCCACCCTTCAGAAGTCTGGGATCTTTGGGAAAGCAACAATAGGTGAGGGGCAGGGTGTGCCTATGCAGTGTGCTGTTGTGTTGGTATGCTGATGAGCCACATGTGCCGCATGATGCTCCCCTGCAAGTTGCACCATGCAGGCTGCAATGAACATCAGTTAAGTTGTTTGCCATATTGGAATTGCGAAACAACATTCGTGCCTTATGTGCCATAGATTCTGAATACTAGGGCCCTGCAATAGAACTAAAATATAAACTGAGAATGAGAAGGGCTTGATCATGTGATCCATGGTAGAATCGTTGCGACAGTACTGAAACCCTCCTTCATCGATGGGCCAGACACACAACAAAAACTGACCATTCTTTGCTACTGGCCTGTCAATCATGTTTGTTGCAATGGTATCCGTGCACCAATCTATAAAACATGGTGAAGCATGAGTAAAAATGAACCAATCGCAGAATGACTCTGTATTAACGACTAAATTACAGAAAAGCACATTGCCTGCACAGGCCATGTGGACAGCATGCTGCTCCGTTCGGAAACTTACGAGTCGAATAAGTGACTTGCCACATGGCTCGCTTGCATTGCTCCATGTGTGACAATATATGCCAATATGAGAGTAATGACTCAACAGGCAGAACAGCAATGGGAATGTGCAATACAGAACAACATGCCACAATTTACAAAGGGAAAATTCTCATCAGGGGAATGTCTTTCACTGCAGACAACCACCAACTCTGCCCAAAGGTGCATGGGCTGTGCTTTCCCTCGTTGTCTGATAAATGCAACAGAGCGATTTCAATTCGACCCATGTAGCCACTCACCTCCTTCTCTAGGGCCCACAGCAGGGTATCGTGGCCCATTCTTGCACAGTGCACGCCCTGTGGAACACCAGTCTGTTGTAACCGGCCAAAAGCCCAAGAACAATTCTGCACACTGTGCAGTGTATTGTTGGTTTTTTTACCCTTCCGCATCGAAAATTTCACCGTTACGCTTTTGGCTCCACACTTCGTTTCCAGAGCATTATTTTTATCAATTTTACGCTACTCCACATACATTTTATTAAAGGAGGATTATTTTATTGTTGTCTCCATAAAAAGGCCAAGCGTTACCTTCTTATGCAGAAGGGTTTAAGAACCAACAGTACCCTGTCCCAAACCAGACTTGACAAAACTCAGCACAGTCAACTGCAGAATGGGGTTCACTTCAGCCCCTCGTCTATGAGCTGCAACAGTCTCCAGCAATATCCAACAAGAGGGATGGTGCGAGGGCTTTGTTTGCCAGTTATGACAATTGCGATCCATGGAGATTCACCAGAATGCAAACTCTGTTCGCTTTGTTGATTGCCTGGCGATGGTGCATTGCTGTTGAACGAGGTGATCGTTGCTTCATCGTGCTGAAAAGACCGCCGTTGGTGCATTGTTTGAAGCTGGGCCAAATATCAACGACAGCCCACAGATTGCATAATGCGCTACTGACAACCAATTCCTTGGATCGCGTTCACTTTCGCAAGGCAAGCCCCTCATATGTGCACCTTGCATGTTGGGCCCTGGACACAGCGTTGTTTTTGGGGCGGCTGGACAATCCTTTGCCCATTCTCCGCAAACCCAACCAGCGAAAAAGTCGCGTCCCCAGCACCCAAGCTGGCCTGGCCAACCCCTTTGGCATTCGTGGCGTTGGATACGCCTGGCCGGAAGCACAAAATGCGGGATGAAAGCAATCCCCACACACAACGTGCCCGGGTGCCATTGCCAGGTCATCCAAACGTGCTGCGTGCACCAAAGCGCAGGTTGTGGCGGTGGCCACGCACCAGAGCGGTCCCCCAGGCTCCACCTCCAATCACGCCGATCTGCAGCGGCAACAACACGGCCCAAATGACCCGAGTCAGCCCTCAGATGACGACCGCAGGACCCCCCCAACCCCCAACCCCGCAAGCAAGCTCCACAGCCCGCCCATCAGCTGCCAATTCCGCAGCAGAGCTCCGATCTGTCAATCTTGCGCCGTCAATTTTGCAGCAATCTTACACCCCAACCATCGCTCCCAAGGGCCCGAAGGTCGCAGCACGCGATTCACGCTGCCAGCCCGAGCCCAGTCCTCATCAGCGCGCGACCTGCACCGTGACGCGCGCCTCGCTGCCGCCCCCTTCTACATACACGCCACCTTCACGCCACGGAACGCAGCCACACAAACAACTTCGATCATCAGAGATTGCCCATTCCCAAATGCGTCCGCCTTCTGTTGCACCGAAACCATGATTTCCGCATCGCTCGCGCGGGCGCGCGATCTTCCATCCAGCTGCCCCAACGCCTCGCGTCACCTCGCCACCTGCGATCGCCCAAGCCAAACGCCACAGAAACGCGTCCTTCGGGACGGGCAAACGTTCTTGGACGCACACGCGCCCTCCAATAGCCCACGGGCTGCAATGCCACCGCATCTCGTCCAAGGCAACTTCTTTTCCGCCAAACACAGCATTTCAGCCGCCCACCTTCGTCCTTTCATGGGTCAGCTCCGCGCACGCGGAGGCCATCGCCGCTGGGATCCACCCGGGGCCCGGCAGCGCGAGTCGACTGCCGAGGCCGCGGCCACAGCCGGGTGCCCCCTCCCGTTCAGCGAAAAGCAAAAGCAAAAAAGACAACGGGGGAGCAAACAGAACAGCAGCGAAAAGGCAAAGGGCGGGCGCGCCGGCGCCTGTGCGGGCTGTTGGGGAGCGGCGGCGGTGCGGAAGGCGCGAGGGGATCAGGAGTTTGGGAGGCGCGCAAGGTTCGAGTGCGGGGAGGCGTGTCGTGTGTGACTTGCCGCCGACGTGCCCGACAGCGGGCGGCCTTCTTCGTTTGGGGAAGGGGGGGCCGCGGATGCCGCGTTGGATCCTGCGCGGCCGGACAGGGCGCGACGCCGGCCAGAATATATTAGTCACTCCGTCCTTTTGTGACGATCCCTTCCGCTGACGAGGCCAACGCTGGTCAATGGTTCAGTGGTTTGTTTTGGGGTTCAGGGTGTTTTCAGGGTTTT